TCCTGTTGTTTTAGGCTGAGGTTAGAAGGACATTATGGATGTCCAGACTATTGCTCTGTTCTTTAGGATCAGGGTAAAAATACATGTTCAGATTAAGTTCATTTGCCTGGGAAGCGGATTTCTTTGGGCCCTGGCATCATTGGCAAACATCTCATCATGATTTCTGTCTGTGTGTCCATCTGTCCAAAATACATTTGTGTCCCCTCCATAACATTATATCCAGTCATAGTCTAGTAATAAACCTTTATGGGATGGTTAATCATTACCAGAACATGTGTCACATACCAGATTCTTTTTGTTCTCAAAACGTCAAGTTCTCAAGTTTAGACTTTTTAATGGTATCTCTATATTTGTCTGTGCTTGTGTCTGTCTGAAACACATGTCTGCTTCATTACTCTGTAACCATAGTATAACGATGAAACTCTGTCTGATTGTCATTATTGGAAGGCGTGCCACATATCAAATGTTCTTGTGGGTTCTTCAAAGGTCTAGTTTTCAAACATAGGGTTTTAAATGGGACCCTAATATTGATCAACAGAGGGTTGTGTCTGCACCATAACTTTGCAGGCAGTCAAGTCTTATCATAATGGAGGGTTCTCAGAGATGGTTTCCAACCTTATAACATCTAGTTTGTTCATACCTTTTGCGGATTGTTCAGATATTTGATCATGTTGAAAATCATCCTGAACAACTTGAGCAAATTTCTCAAAATTAAAGTTCAAAATGCACAGTGAAGAAATTTTATTTTTGATAACTCTTCCTTTCCTTTATTGGTATTTGCGTTTTTATGCCTACACCAGACATTGCCAGGAGCATGTAGTGTTACACCTTTCTGTCATTCTGGTTATTCTGTCATTTCATCAATCTGTCTGTCCCCATTTACATTGTCTTTGCAACTCCTCTTAAACCCTATGGAGATTTTTGATAAGACTTGGTATGATGCAAAATACCTTGTCTTTTGCAAGTTCTCCTAAACCCTTGAGAGGATTTTAAAGAAACTTGGTACAAAGAAAGACAACATTGTGTAGATGTGTGTAAAGCAAGGGGAACAGTGTTTTACAGGAGTTATGACCCTTGAACTTAGCTTTTTCATCGCAAAATTAATACCTTTGGGGCTGGAGAGATGTGGGGGGAGGGGGGGGGGTGACATTTGAATGTAGGTCCAACCATTGTGAAGATAATTATGGAACATTTTAAAACCATTCAGTATTCACAAGAAATTCATCAAGCAACCACTGCTTATAGCTCCAAATTAGATCTTGCTTTCGCCAATATGTCCATCCCTACAGATGTACTTCTGCACACTGCTTCTCTTACTGCTGGACAGTTGTGATTAAAAGTTGAATCTGAGGTAAATATATCTTTCTTTTATATGCAGATTAAATGTAATGTCCATTTCAAAATAAACACTTGAAGAGCTTTGCTGCCAGCTTGGGCCTTTGTGAGGCTCAGAGGCATCTAGTGTAGTAAGGTGAAGTTGGCCTGTGCAGCTGAATACAAGTGGCCTGCGATCATAGATGTTTTCAAAACAAAATTTGTTCATTTCAGAATCTTTACTAAAAATTAAATCAAGAGCTCAGATCAAATTTCTTTCCCACAGTAAATACACATACTTACAATTAATGACTAATAAGATTATAAGTACATTGTATTTCAATGTCTTTATTTGCATAAGCAGGGGCAGCATCTAAATCCTTAGCATGAGAGGTATTACAAACATTTCTTTGTCAGTGACTTAAACAGATTAGAATTGTTGTAAATTACTTAAATTTGCTTCGAATTAGTGGATATTTTCAGTACATGATTTTTTCAATAGAAAAAAAATCTTTCTCTTGATGGTTCAAACTTGCCTATTCTTATTTTACAACTTGACTTGTTTGCATGAACAGATTAAGTTTTATAGTCGGTAAATATTGTTTGACATGTACTGATAGAGAAACCACACTGTTCGGCCATGTGTGTAAGAACTCCCATTTTGTCAGCACTTTATCATACAAGTTTTAAGGTATTTCTAAAGCAAATGATTCTTTGTATTGCTAGAATTATTTTAAGCTTTCGGTGATAGCAGTATATGGAATATAAAGAATTCCACAGCAACTTTAGAATTGCATGGGGCTATTCTTGCTTGTGTTGAATTACAGTAAAATTTGAGAAAATGATAAAGACACTGCATGATGGTGATTTGCATGGAGAAGAACACCTAAAGCATTTCTTGTGCTGTATATTGGAAATTGATCTTTATTTTTAGAGAGAATTTCATTTCTGTTTAAATTTATTCCAAGTTCTTAAATGAAAATAATTAACTTGATATCTTTACTTACCTTTACTTACCTTTGTCTACGTTTTCTTCATATTTACATGTGGCTACATTTCTTTATACATCTGTATATGTGTGTGGCTACATTTCTTTATACATCTGTACATGTGTGTGGCTACATTTCTTTATACATCTGTACATGTGTGTGGCTACATTTCTTTATACATCTGTACATGTGTGTGGCTACGTTTCTTTATACATCTGTACATGTGTGTGGCTACATTTCTTTATACATCTGTATATATGTGTGGCTACGTTTCTTTATACATCTGTACATGTGTGTGGCTACGTTTCTTTATACATCTGTACATGTGTGTGGCTACATTTCTTTATACATCTGTATATGTGTGTGGCTACATTTCTTTATACATCTGTAGATGTGTGTGGCTACGTTTCTTTATACATCTGTATATGTGTGTGGCTACGTTTCTTTATACATCTGTACATGTGTGTGGCTACGTTTCTTTATACATCTGTACATGTGTGTGGCTACGTTTCTTTATACATCTGTATATGTGTGTGGCTACGTTTCTTTATACATCTGTACATGTGTGTGGCTACGTTTCTTTATACATCTGTACATGTGTGTGGCTACGTTTCTTTATACATCTGTACATGTGTGTGGCTACGTTTCTTTATACATCTGTACATGTGTGTGGCTACGTTTCTTTATACATCTGTACATGTGTGTGGCTACGTTTCTTTATACATCTGTACATGTGTGTGGCTACGTTTCTTTATACATCTGTACATGTGTGTGGCTACGTTTCTTTATACATCTGTACATGTGTGTGGCTACGTTTCTTTATACATCTGTACATGTGTGTGTGTACATGTGTGTGGCTACGTTTCTTTATACATCTGTACATGTGTGTGGCTACGTTTCTTTATACATCTGTACATGTGTGTGGCTACGTTTCTTTATACATCTGTACATGTGTGTGGCTACGTTTCTTTATACATCTGTACATGTGTGTGGCTACGTTTCTTTATACATCTGTACATGTGTGTGGCTACGTTTCTTTATACATCTGTACATGTGTGTGGCTACGTTTCTTTATACATCTGTACATGTGTGTGGCTACGTTTCTTTATACATCTGTACATGTGTGTGGCTACGTTTCTTTATACATCTGTATATGTGTGTGGCTACGTTTCTTTATACATCTGTACATGTGTGTGGCTACGTTTCTTTATACATCTGTACATGTGTGTGGCTACATTTCTTTATACATCTGTACATGTGTGTGGCTACATTTCTTTATACATCTACATTTCTTTATACATCTGTACATGTGTGTGGCTACATTTCTTTATACATCTGTATATGTGTGTGGCTACGTTTCTTTATACATCTATATTTGTGCGTGGCTCTTTGTGTGGCTATACGATAGCCTTATTCTGGTCCGTACGAACATTTGAGTTGGCATTGGAGATAGCTTTGCCTATGTAGTGGTTTTTCCTTTACTAACAAATTTCTCTTTGTTTGCTTCCTTTTGCAGAAATGATTTATTGTAAAATGTTTGATTTGATGCCAATAATGACATATATAGACAATGTCTGTTGTACTGTGAATCATTGAAATTTTCCATGGAAGCCATTTTGTTGTCAACAGGTAATAAACAAATAAAAAATGTGACAAATCCCATCATCTGTTTAGATATGTGTTTGAGATTTATTATAAGAAAATAAGGAAATGTTTATATTCAAATACAAACTGATTTGTCACAGTTTGTATTAAAATCTATAAGTAGCATGTATTAGTTTCTTTGAATCTGAATGTCAAATTATGAACAATAATGAAAATGTGAAAATATCAAGTGTGAAAGAGTTGTAATAAACAAAGCAACAAAATAAAAAATTCCTAAAATTTCATTGATTTACATATTGTCCTAGATGTGATGAGGATCACACAGATGATTCTATAACCTTGTAGTATAGTGATGTCACATTGCCTGATTTGAAGCCTAATATCGGCCAGTTTATCCTCGAATTGCATGCTCAAGGGTCTTCCTCTGATTAGTGATGAATATTCTATCAACTGGTGCTGTAGCAGATGTCTGTCGTCTATCCTGAATGGAGGTACTTCTTGCTGGTGATCATTCAGACCCTTGATAATTGTCCTTGTCAGTGTATTTTAATTGTATTTTACATACCACTAATTTGCCACTCGTAATGATTTGCTTGTGTGATTAACAAGTTCACTTTTCTATCTTTTCTGTTGTTTTGTCCGTGAATATGTTAATCAGTTTGTTTTATTTAAACTGGCTGATTTTTGTAGGAATTTTTTAGATGAGTTCTGCTCTATTTATGAAAATAAGCACTATATATTTATATATAACAGGTGAGGGATACAGGGCTCTGGGTTTGAATTATAAAATAAATTGGTCTCATTTTTGCTGGAATGCAATTCTAGATAACCGTTTGTTTTAGTATACATTGAAGGTCCTCTAACTTCTTTTTAGCTGATGATGTAGTCTTTTCGATTAATTTGGTAATAATGACATTTTTCTGTACGTGTTAAATGTATTCAATTATTCTCAATTGAAATCTGATATTTAGTAAGATGGAAATACCACATGTGAATTTCATTTCCATGTAGTGCTATGAATGCAGCATTTTATGTGTGTTGCCATGGTAACCTGTGTTACTTAAGTGATATTTCCTGCCCCTGTATGACCAGGTGTGGACTGGAAGTCACTGACCATACCTGCCTCCCTCCCTATCACCACCGACTACTTCCCTGGCAAGAAGAGTCTGCAGACAGACTATGTTTTTGCTACCTATAGTTTGCTTCCTGAACAGGATTGTGACTACGGCATGGATTACCAGAGGTAATATTGTCAAGGTCATCTGCCAGAGATGATAAATTGTCAAGGTCATCTATCAGAAATGATAAGTTGTCAAGTTTGTTTATCAGAGGTAATAATGTCAAGGTTGTTTATCAGAGGTAATAATGTCAAGGTTGTTTATCAGAGGTAATAATGTCAAGGTTGTCTACCAGAGGTAATAATGTCAAGTTTGTCTACCAGAGGTAATAATATCAAGGTTGTCTACCAGAGGTAATAATGTCAAGGTTGTTTATCAGAGGTAATAATGTCAAGGTTGTCTACCAGAGGTAATAATGTCAAGGTTGTCTACCAGAGGTAATAATGTCAAGGTTGTTTATCAGAGGTAATAATGTCAAGGTTGTCTACCAGAGGTAATAATGTCAAGTTTGTCTACCAGAGGTAATAATATCAAGGTTGTCTACCAGAGGTAATAATGTCAAGGTTGTTTATCAGAGGTAATAATGTCAAGGTTGTCTACCAGAGGTAATAATGTCAAGGTTGTTTATCAGAGGTAATAATGTCAAGGTTGTCTACCAGAGGTAATAATGTCAAGGTTGTCTACCAGAGGTAATAATGTCAAGGTTGTTTATCAGAGGTAATAATGTCAAGGTTGTTTATCAGAGGTAATAATGTCAAGGTTGTTTATCAGAGGTAATAATGTCAAGGTTGTCTATCAGAGGTAATAATGTCAAGGTTGTCTACCAGAGGTAATAATGTCAAGGTTGTCTACCAGAGGTAATAATGTCAAGGTTGTTTATCAGAGTTAATAATGTCAAGGTTGTTTATCAGAGGTAATAATGTCAAGGTTGTTTATCAGAGGTAATAATGTCAAGGTTGTCTCCTATAGGTAATAATGTCAAGGTTGTCTCCTATAGGTAATAATGTCAGGGTTGTCTGCCAGAGGTAATAATGTCAAGGTTGTTTATCAGAGGTAATAATGTCAAGGTTGTCTCCTAGAGTTAATGATGTCAAGGTTGTCTCCTAGAGGTAATAACGTCAAGGTTGCCTCCTAGAGTTAATAATGTCAAGGTTGTCCACTAGAGGTAATAATGTCAAGGTGTTGTTCATCAAAGATAATAATGTCAAGGTTGTCTACCAGAGGTAATATTGTCAAGGTTGTCTACCAGAGGTAATAATGTCAAGGTTGTCTACCAGAGGTAATAATGTCAAGGTTGTCTACCAGAGGTAATAATGTCAAGGTTGTCTGCCAGAAGTAATAATGTCAAGGTTGTCTGCCAGAAGTAATAATGTCAAGGTTGTCTACCAGAAGTAATAATGTCAAGGTTGTCTACCAGAGGTAATAATGTCAAGTTTGTCTACCAGAGGTAATAATTTCAAGGTTGTTTATCAGAGGTAATAATGTCAAGGTTGTCTGCCAGAGGTGATAATGTCAAGGTTGTCTGCCAGAGGTAATAATGTCAAGGTTGTCTACCAGAAGTAATAATTTCAAGGTTGTTTATCAGAGGTAATAATGTCAAGGTTGTCTGCCAGAGGTAATAATGTCAAGGTTGTCTACCAGAGGTAATAATGTCAAGGTTGTCTACCAGAGGTAATAATTTCAAGGTTGTTTATCAGAGGTAATAATGTCAAGGTTGTCTGCCAGAGGTAATAATGTCAAGGTTGTCTGCCAGAGGTAATAATGTCAAGGTTGTCTACCAGAAGTAATAATTTCAAGGTTGTTTATCAGAGGTAATAATGTCAAGGTTGTCTGCCAGAGGTAATAATGTCAAGGTTGTTTATCAGAGGTAATAATGTCAAGGTTGTCTACTAGAGGTAATAATGTCAAGGTTGTCTACTAGAGGTAATAATGTCAAGGTTGTCTGCCAGAGGTAATAATGTCAAGGTTGTCTACTAGAGGTAATATTGTCAAGGTCACCTATCCCAGTGTTTATGAGGAATTGACTTATTACAGGATAATGAAATTCCAAGCATTAATATATTGGCAAAGACATGTGGTAATAAAGAAAACAGTAATTTATGATAAAAAAATACCACAAAATAGAAGCCATATGACGATTTTCGGAGTAAGGAGTGAAGGTAGGTACAACAAGCTAGCACTGTCTCTCTCTGCACCTCAGGAGTATTGAAGTTGAGTTTGATACCAAAACCGGTCAACAAAATCAGTTTCTATTCTATTCCTACCTACCATTTAGGTTTTTATTGTTTCTGAAATCTGTCTTTATTAAGAATATTGAAAAATTAACATACAGTCCTATGAGTCACCAAGCTGATTATTACCAGTGTATCAGCAGTAGAAACACTTGCTCTCCTCATCACTATGTTTTTATTTTTTTTCAGTCTTTCCACAGATGAGAGGTATTTTAAGAGGAAGAACCTGACATCAAAGCAGGTGTTTAAAGAACTGGTTTCCCAACGTCTGTCTCAAGGATTCCAAGTCATTGTCAATAAGTCACCAAGCTCTAAATCCCAACAGGTGTCACTAGGCTCCAGTCCGCAGTACCAACACACTGTGGGACTTATCCGGGCAAGAGCCCGCACAGAACAGTCGGTATGTCTTACTTCTGATTCCTGACTCCATCATAAAAACAAAAAAGTAACGGGGAAATTGAAATCTCTATGTTTATCTCGCCTCTTGGTGGAAAGCTGTACATGTTGGTTTCATTGTAGGAAAAGATCGAGATAAGCAACCGAACAGTCTGTCATGTTTTTTATTTCCAATGCTAGTGGGTATATAGGATGGACGAGGTCCTTAGATCTCTTACTGTTTAAAGACAAGACATTATCAAAAAATCTGAAGATGAAATGGAATAACTTTGCAAGGTCTTTGTGACCTGTTTAGATAAGCGCTTTGATGAATTCAGCCTCCTATGAGAAAAAAAAAACAGGTTGTTCACATAGGTATGTCAATAATTGGAAGACCTTAGCCTCAAACTCCATAATGTTAACCAGAAACTCTATCATTTATATGATTGCTTCCTCTGTATATTTCTTTTTTGATTTGAATATATATTTTTTCTTTTTGCATGAAATACATCTCAAATAACTCAAAATCATGTATTTGTACCGCTTGGAAAAGGAAGCTGTCATAACAGTAGAATGGAGGTATTGTTTCAGTTTAGAATGGTGTTTAGTAGTGTACAGTGTAGACAAATCTAATGTTCTTATAGAAAAAATGATTTTTAGAAGAGGGTGTTGTAGATTGATTAATAGCTCTTTTGGAGTTCTTTACAATCCACATACTATTAAGTCCACTTCTTGAGTAAACAGTATCACAATTAGACTGTAACCCAGATTTGATAGTGCTAAGAATGGTGATGAGTATTTTCAACAAAAGTTTGGTTGAATAGTAAGACGAGCCAGCAAATATGTTGTTAATATAGACTCATTTGAAGTTTAGGAATCCAATATAAATGGAGGAGGTCCATATCCTTATAATTAATATACAATCTAAATGATTATAATACTGAAGTGTGATTAGCCAGTATTTTTTTCTTTGGAAAGATTGCATAATGTAAAGGTTGGGTTTCTTAAGTTATCAAGCAAGCTTAGTTCTTTTTGTATACAAGATATTTTATAATGTTTGCAGACAAGGATCAAGTTATTGGACACCTTATCTGCAGGCTTGATAAATGAATCTTAAATGTGAAATATGATTTTTGAAATCATTATCAATTTTTTGAGCTGAAACAGTAGGTATTGATATGAATATATATATAGTCAACACTCCCTTTTTATTGATTTGCTGTTTTAGTCATCTCTCAAATTGTTATAAATAAAATTATATTACACAAATGATATAACTTTTTTTTTGTTCTACAGGAGGAATGTTATCTGAGTATAGGAAGAATATTTCATAAAGTCTCTGTCACGGGACCTGAAATTACTGTCACCAGGTACAGCCCCAGGTAGGTTAGGTGTCCTAGAGGAACCAGCATCACCAAATCAGTAGTGTTTTGTCACCAGGTACAGCCCCAGGTAGGTTAGGTGTACTAGAGGAACCAGCATCACCAGATCAGTAGTGTTTTGTCACAAGGTACAGCCCCAGGTAGGTTAGGTGTACTAGAGGAACCAGCATCACCAGATCAGTAGTGTTTTGTCACCAGGTACAGCCCCAGGTAGGTTAGGTGTACTAGAGGAACCAGCATCACCAAATCAGTAGTGTTTTGTCACCAGGTACAGCCCCAGGTAGGTTAGGTGTACTAGAGGAACCAGCATCACCAGATCAGCAGTGTTTTGTCACCAGGTACAGCCCCAGGTAGGTTAGGTGTACTAGAGGAACCAGCATCACCAGATCAGTAGTGTTTTGTCACCAGGTACAGCCCCAGGTAGGTTAGGTGTACTAGAGGAACCAGCATCACCAAATCAGTAGTGTTTTGTCACCAGGTACAGCCCCAGGTAGGTTAGGTGTACTAGAGGAACCAGCATCACCAAATCAGTAGTGTTTTGTCACCAGGTACAGCCCCAGGTAGGTTAGGTGTACTAGAGGGACCAGCATCACCAAATCAGTAGTGTTTTGTCACCAGGTACAGCCCCAGGTAGGTTAGGTGTACTAGAGGGACCAGCATCACCAAATCAGTAGTGTTTTGTCACCAGGTACAGCCCCAGGTAGGTTAGGTGTACTAGAGGAACCAGCATCACCAAATCAGTAGTGATTTGTCACAAGGTACAACCCCAGGTAGGTTAGGTGTACTAGAGGAACCAGCATCACCAAATCAGTAGTGTTTTGTCACCAGGTACAGCCCCAGGTAGGTTTAGTGTACTAGAGGGACAAGCATCACCAAATCAGTAGTGTTTTGTCACCAGGTACAGCCCCAGGAAGGTTTAGTGTACTAGAGGGACCAGCATCACCAAATCAGTAGTGTTTTGTCACCAGGTACAGCCCCATGTAGGTTTAGTTTACGAGAGGAACCAGCATCACCAAATCAGTAGTGTTTTGTCACCAGGTACCCCACCAGGTAGGTTAGGTGTACTAGAGGAACCAGCATCACCAGATCAGTAGTGTTTTATCACAAGGTACAGCCCCAGGTAGGTTAGGTGTACTAGAGGGACCAGCATCACCAGCATCACCAAATCAGTAGTGTTTTGTCACCAGGTACCCCACCAGGTAGGTTAGGTGTACTAGAGGAACCAGCATCACCAGATCAGTAGTGTTTTATCACAAGGTACAGCCCCAGGTAGGTTAGGTGTACTAGAGGGACCAGCATCACCAGATCAGTAGTGTTTTGTCACCAGGTACAGCCCCAGGTAGGTTTAGTGTACTAGAGGGACCAGCATCACCAGATCAGTAGTGTTTTGTCACCAGGTACAGCCCCAGGAAGGTTTAGTGTACTAGAGGGACCAGCATCACCAGATCAGTAGTGTTTTGTCACCAGGTACAGCCCCATGTAGGTTTAGTTTACGAGAGGAACCAGCATCACCAAATCAGTAGTGTTTTGTCACCAGGTACCCCACCAGGTAGGTTAAGTGTACGAGATTGACCCAAATGGTTGCTTTCAAAAAGCTTCAGTGAAAAGTAGTTTATGTTGCTCCTTTTTATGAAGTAATCAGTCTTATTTGTCTCACATTGAAATTTGATAAAATTTTGATTTAGATTCAAATTACTCAATAATATATTTGAAAATGCATATCAGACATCAGTTACCTTGTAGAGTTCTGTCAGTGTTCTGGGTAAAGTATGGTTATACAAAAGTGATGGCCCCTGATTTTATCTATGTTTGTGAATTTTCCTACAGACACCCAGGACCAGAGCTGAAGCTCCCGTACTGTTACCGCTTCCAGGCCCCGGACTCCCTTAGCTACGATGTGTCCTGGAGTGAGTTTCGTAACGAAAAACTGGAGAACTACAATTGGAACTACCTAGATCAGTACATCTGTACCCGAGGGGAGGGGGACTATGGTCTGGTGGAGGTAAGGATTGACTGGTTAAACACTGTTTCTAAGGAGGAATATGGTATACATCTACTGATGGAGAACATCACTAATCCCATAGATAAGAATCTAAGTCTTTGTGTAAATAATTCTGTAAATGATGGGAGGACTTTTTATATAAGACAGGATAGGAATCTAAGTCTTTGTGTAAATAATTCTGTAAATGATGGGAGGATGTTTTATATAAGACAGGATAGGAATCTAAGTCTTTGTGTAAATAATTCTGTAAATGATGGGAGGAGTTTTTATATAAGACAGGATAGGAACACTGTCTTTGTGTAAATAATTCTGTAAATGATGGAGAACATTTTATATAAGACAGGATAGGAATCTAAGTCTTTGTGTAAATAATTCTGTAAATGATGGGAGGATGTTTTATATAAATAAGACAGGATAGGAATCTAAGTCTTTGTGTAAATAATTCTGTAAATGATGGGAGGACGTTTTATATAAGACAGGATAGGAATCTAAGTCTTTGTGTAAATAATTCTGTAAATGATGGGAGGACTTTTTATATAAGACAGGATAGGAATCTAAGTCTTTGTGTAAATAATTCTGTAAATGATGGGAGGATGTTTTATATAAATAAGACAGGATAGGAATCTAAGTCTTTGTGTAAATAATTCTGTAAATGATGGGAGGATGTTTTATATAAATAAGACAGGATAGGAATCTAAGTCTTTGTGTAAATAATTCTGTAAATGATGGGAGGATGTTTTATATAAATAAGACAGGATAGGAATCTAAGTCTTTGTGTCTGTGAAAAGAAAAGACAAATTCAACATTGTTTGTTATGTTGTTGACAGTCACTGAAGTTCTGGAGGAGTCGTTTCCTTATCATGCCCTGTAACAACCCGGCTACAAAAAAAATCATTGATGGTCATCCAAGGTCAGTAGCTGACAATATTTATATAAGTACTACCTTGCATTCTGAATCTCCTGTCTTCATTATCCAGTCACATTAATCCTAATCATTTATGTTATGTCCCCGTTATCCAGACTCCTTAATCCAGTCCTCATTAATCTGGTGTCCCTGTTATCCAGACTCCTTAATCCAGTCCTCATTAATCTGGTGTCCCTGTTATCCAGACTCCTTAATCCAGTCCTCATTAATCTGGTGTCCCCGTTATCCAGACTCCTTAATCCAGTCCTCATTAATCTGGTGTCCCTGTTATCCAGACTCCTTAATCCAGTCCTCATTAATCTGGTGTCTCTGTTATCCAGACTCCTTAATCCAGTCCTCATTAATCTGGTGTCCCCGTTATCCAGACTCCTTAATCCAGTCCTCATTAATCTGGTGTCCCCGTTATCCAGACTCCTTAATCCAGTCCTCATTAATCTGGTGTCCCTGTTATCCAGACTCCTTAATCCAGTCCTCATTAATCTGGTGTCTCTGTTATCCAGACTCCTTAATCCAGTCCTCATTAATCTGGTGTCCCTGTTATCCAGACTCCTTAATCCAGTCCTCATTAATCTGGTGTCCCCGTTATCCAGACTCCTTAATCCAGTCCTCATTAATCTGGTGTCCCCGTTATCCAGACTCCTTAATCCAGTCCTCATTAATCTAGTGTCCCTGTTATCCAGACTCCTTAATCTAGTCCTCATTAATCTGGTGTCCCATTCATTCATTCATTCATGATGTAAAAATTGACCTTTGAATGTGTCATGCCTATAAGGACTTAACTTCTGGGTCCATATTTGAGATCCCAACTTGATCACTATATAAACTCTTACTGGGCTTTGAAAGAGAAAGACAGACATGATATAAGAATTTATTTATTGATCTTGCCCTACCAAAGAGGTTAAGTGACTGGAAATATTTGAAATATCAAACCTACAGGAAAACAATTCCATTGCTGGGCTTGAAGTTCCAGGTAAGCAATACAGGCTCTATGTGCCTCTTGTCTTATTACCCAGTCTTGTCAATCCAGATGCCACTAATTGTATAATATATAAATGATGTATCACGTACATAGAACAGGTACATGTAACATTACTTCTTTAAGGAATTGATTTTCTGTACCTGACAGATGTGATATATATGAAGAAAAAACAATGGTGGAGTACCAGAACTTGGTACACGGATTTGTACGCATGATTGAGATCCTGAACCGATTGAAGAGGACAGCCAAAAGGTCAAAGGTCAGTAATTTGTTGGTAATGCCTCACAATACTTATACACATAGATACATCATGGCCTGGGGGCGAGAGGGGAGGGGGGTAATTATGAATAAGTACAGATTCTATTTTATCATACTATTAGATCATACTAGATAGGAGATTTACATGACTTGTATATATTTACATGTATTATTAAAGTATTCATCACTAGAAAGTGATTAGAGGTGCATCAGTTCTATAAATAAATAACTCATGTGTTTACAATAACAAGAAAGCATGCAGTAGTATTCTTTGTGATTTTGAAAAGATTGTTAAATTCTCTAAAGTTAAAAGCATACAAAATATTCTTAATACTGGTATTCCATTGTGCATTGAGATCATTGTCTTAATCACATATCTACAGAAAGGGTCATTGTCTTAATCACATATCTACAGCCAGGGTCTTACACATGTAGATATATTCAATGTATGTTGAGGTCATTGTCTTAATCACATATCTACAGCCAGGGTCTTACACATGTAGATATATTCAATGTATGTTGAGGTCATTGTCTTAATCACATATCTACAGCCAGGGTCTTACACATGTAGATATATTCAATGTATGTTGAGGTCATTGTCTTAATCACATATCTACAGCCAGGGTCTTACACATGTAGATATATTCAATGTATGTTGAGGTCATTGTCTTAATCACATATCTACAGCCAGGGTCTTACACATGTAGATATATTCAATGTATGTTGAGGTCATTGTCTTAATCACATATCTACAGCCAGGGTCTTACACATGTAGATATATTCAATGTATGTTGAGGTCATTGTCTTAATCACATATCTACAGCCAGGGTCTTACACATGTAGATATATTCAATGTATGTTGAGGTCATTGTCTTAATCACATATCTACAGCCAGGGTCTTACACATGTAGATATATTCAATGTATGTTGAGGTCATTGTCTTAATCACATATCTACAGCCAGGGTCTTACACATGTAGATATATTCAATGTATGTTGAGGTCATTGTCTTAATCACATATCTACAGCCAGGGTCTTACACATGTAGATATACTCAATGTATGTTGAGGTCATTGTCTTAATCACATATCTACAGCCAGGGTCTTACACATGTAGATATACTCAATGTATGTTGAGCTCATTGTTTTAATCACATATCTACAGCCTGGGTCTTACACATGTAGATATATTCCAATGTATGTTGAGGTCATTGTCTTAATCACATATCAACAGCCAGGGTCTTACACATGTAGATATATTCAATGTATGTTGAGGTCATTGTCTTAATCACATATCTACAGCCAGGGTCTTACACATGTAGATATACTCAATGTATGTTGAGGTCATTGTCTTAATCACATATCTACAGCCAGGGTCTTACACATGTAGATATACTCAATGTATGGTGAGCTCATTGTCTTAATCACATATCTACAGCCAGGGTCTTACACATGTAGATATATTCAATGTATGTTGAGGTCATTGTCTTAATCACATATCTACAGCCAGGGTCTTACACATGTAGATATATTCAATGTATGTTGAGGTCATTGTCTTAATCACATATCTACAGCCAGGGTCTTACACATGTAGATATATTCAATGTATGTTGAGGTCATTGTCAATCACATATCTACAGCCAGGGTCTTACACATGTAGATATACTCAATGTATGTTGAGGTCATTGTCTTAATCACATATCTACAGCCAGGGTCTTACACATGTAGATATACTCAATGTATGTTGAGGTCATTGTCTTAATCACATATCTACAGCCAGGGTCTTACACATAATATACTCAATGTATGTTGAGGTCATTGTCTTAATCACATATCTACAGCCAGGGTCTTACACATGTAGATATACTCAATGTATGTTGAGGTCATTGTCTTAATCACATATCTACAGCCAGGGTCTTACACATGTAGATATACTCAATGTATGGTGAGCTCATTGTCTTAATCACATATCTACAGCCAGGGTCGTACACATGTAGATATATTCAGTGTATGGTGAGCTCATTGTCTTAATCACATATCTACAGCCAGGGTCGTACACATGTAGATATACTCAATGTATGTTGAGCTCATTGTTGTAATTTCTATTATGTATTGACATCTATGATCCTTGTCTTTTGGTATAAATGTGACAAGTGTAGACCTGGTATTTATAGTGCTTTTATCATCATAAATTTGAGTTTTAACTTCAAACTATCCACAATATTAATAAATTAACTTGTTGAAGTTTTAGATAACTTTTATTTTATTTTGAAAAAGTAATTTTTTTGAGAAAATCCATATGGTATTCCAATAATTCCAGCTGTCGGGAGATTCCTCAGTAAGTGGTACTGCCTCAGAGTCCAGTAAAACCGTCCCAGCCCCAGGGGGAGAAGCAAACTCACGGTAGGTCACAATCACTAGCTAAAAATACAAAGAGACATTATAGTGTCATAACGTCAATTTCTATAAAGGTCAAAGGCCACACTTTAGCACTTTCCTGATAAAAAGATCAGGAAGTGTGTGGTTTATCTGTGCAAGTCTCAGCTCGCTTCATTTGGAATATAAAACTAACCATTTATGCTTAATATAGTGTACATTGAAAAAACAAACAAATTTACTTGCTATGGTCACCTAATACAAATTTGTATTCCAGACCCAAAGATGTGGACACCCTGACGCCTGGTTCTCCTCCAACCAAACTAATCGAAGCCATGTTAGACACTCAGTAAGTCACTACAATACTACACATCTAGATTGTAATCACTTTCATTGATTGGTTCTGTGAGGGGGATATTGTTATTATTGGTGTGGGGTGGTGGTGGTACTCCTTTATATAATGTTGTGGTGCTAGGTTTCTGTGAGAGGGATATTGTTATTATTGGTGTGAGGTGGTGGTGGTGGTACTCCTTTATATAATGTTGTGGTGCTAGGTTTCTGTGAGGGGGATATTGTTATTATTGGTGTGGGGTGGTGGTGGTACTCCTTTATATAATGTTGTGGTGCTAGGTTTCTGTGAGGGGGATATTGTTATTATTGGTGTGGGGTGGTGGTACTCCTTTATGTAATGTTGTGGTGCTAGGTTTCTGTGAGAGGGATATTGTTATTATTGGTGTGGGGTGGTGGTGATGGTACTCCTTTATATAATGTTGTGGTGCTAGGTTTCTTTGAGGGGGATATTGTTATTATTGGTGTTGGGTGGTGGTGGTACACCTTTATATACCGTAAATTTGCGGGTATAGTGCGCACTCGGGTATAGTGCGCAGGTACTTTTTTTTTTTCTACTGAAAGATTAATTGATTACTGGTTACCGCGATGAAACAGTTGTGTTTTGATCCATTGATAATTAGGAAACCACAATCATCGTGACACTAACATATTTAATTACCTTATGTAAACAAATTCACACAGGTACCTGACTTAACAAGCATGAAAGGCTTGGCTAATTGGATAATTAACGGTTCTTAACAGGTAACAAACACGTTGAGTATGAGGAGATTGATGACACCCGGCTTCGGCTGAACGCGTACTATTGCTCAGAAAACGATGTTGTTTTAACTGTCTGAAAAGTTTCAATCATAACTTGTCCCCACATTTGTACCTACCGCGGTATCCGAAGGTACTTAATTATAGATTGTTTACACCGACTTCGACATGGGGAAACTGCGAACACCATTTGACTACGCCGAGAGACTTGAGTTTCGTGCCGCCGGTCGCCACTTCGACATTCCAGAGTGAAATATCAAGGCACGGAAGAAAGAAAATACTGTCTAAAGTCCCAACCACTGACCAGTAGGGCTGACATAGGTGCGACAGCGAAACACCCAGAGATGGAGAGAGAGCTGTTCAACTTTGTATGCGATCGCCGATATCCCGGCATCGCTTCCAGTACAACAGAACTGCGCGTGTGGGCCATGCAGATCAAGAGAGGTCATGGGGTCACCAACTTTGGGCATCGGTGGGATGGGCTGTCCGATTTATGAACAGAACGAAAATCGCCTAAAAACTTCCGGATTCATTGAATTCCACAGATACGTCATCAAAATGTGGTAGAAATTCAGACACTACTATAGCCCCGACCAATAGTAAGACCGTCACTATTCGAACGACGGGAAACGAAAAAAAATTAGATTCATCGTAATGCTAGCGTGAATGGCAGATGATTAAAACATTCGGAATTTATTTTATCTTATGTTATCTTTTTGTTGTTTTTATCTCCAAACTATCATATAAGACCGACTACTTTTACATATAACTATGTGAAGGGAGGTAATCCAATATGGCGGACGCAGAACTCGGGAATGATAACCCAAAGAGTGGCATGTTCCTGCGTATAATGCGCACCCCCTTTTTGACACGACAGTTTTAGCTTGAAAAAGTGTGCACTATACTCGAAAATTTACGGTAATGTTGTGGTGCTAGGTTTCTGTGAGGGGGATATTGTTATTATTGGTGAGGGGTGGTGGTGGTGGTACTCCTTTATATAATGTTGTGGTGCTAGGTTTCTGTGAGGGGGATATTGTTATTATTGGTGTGGGGTGGTGGTGGTGGTACTCCTTTATATAATGTTGTGGTGCTAGGTTTCTGTGAGAGGGATATTGTTATTATTGGTGTGGGGTGGTGGTGGTGGTACTCCTTTATATAATGTTGTGGTGCTAGATTAAAATCAGTCTTAGACTGAAGGAGAAGGTGATCTATTTTATTCACTTTCCATAAACATCTGGTAACATCATTTCATTATGACATTGGTAATAAAACTGCTATTCATTCCGTCATCATCAAATTCTACGCCTGATCACTTTCTTGTTTGCATAGGAGCTGTGGCATTTGTGTCAAAATTTGTATCCATGAACTGCTTCAATCTACGAAAATTAAAGTACAGTAATATTATGTATCAGAACATGTCTAGTAGCTGATGTTTTATTCACTAAGGTTATTCCTATAACTGAATACCTCTCTATGACAGAACGATACCAATTTTCCCCTTATAGATTTGGTCTGCCGTTCCTCAGTAAACAGCCAGGTTTACCTAGTAACTGTTTCATCGCAGAGGAGGCAGTCACATGGTGTATACAGAACATCCAGGGTGTGGAGATAACAAGTCAAGCTGTCAACCTCCTACAGGTAAACATTATTGTACCTTTACAGGTAAACATCATTGTACCTTTACAGGTAAACATTATTGTACCTTTACAGGTAAACATCATTGTACCTTTACAGGTAAACATTATTGTACCTTTACAGGTAAACATCATTGTACCTTTACAGGTAAACATCATTGTACCTTTACAGGTAAACATTATTGTACCTTTACAGGTAAACATTATTGTACCTTTACAGGTAAACATTATTGTCCCTTTACAGGTAAACATCATTATGCCTTTACAGGTAAACATTATTGTCCCTTTACAGGTAAACATCATTGTACCTTTACAGGTAAACATTATTGTACCTTTACAGGTAAACATTGTTGTACCTTTACAGGTAAACATTATTGTACCTTTACAGGTAAACATTGTTGTACCTTTACAGGTAAACATTGTTGTACCTTTACAGGTAAACATTATTGTACCTTTACAGGTAAACATTATTGTACCTTTACAGGCAAATATGATGATACCTTTACAGATAAACATTATTGTACCTTTACAGGTAAACATTATTGTACCTTTACAGGTAAACATTATTGTACCTTTACAGGTAAACATTATTGTACCTTTACAGGTAAACATCATTGTACCTTTACAGGTAAACATCATTGTACCTTTACAGGTAAACATTATTGTACCTTTACAGGTAAATATGATGATACCTTTACAGGTAAACATTATTGTACAGATAAACCTTTACAGGTAAACATTGTACCTTTACAGGTAAACCTTTACAGGTAAATATTGTTGTACCTGTACAGGTAAACATTGTTGTACCTTTACAGGTAAATATTGTTGTACCTTTACAGGTAAACATTATTGTACCTATACAGATAAACATTATTGTACCTTTACAGGTAAACTTTATTGTGCCTTTACAGGTGAACTTTATACTACTTTACAGGTAAACATTATTGTACCTTAACAGGTCAATATTATGTTACCTTTACAGGTAAACATTATTGTCCCTTTACAGGTAAACATCATTGTGCCTTTACAGGTAAACGTTGTTGTACCTTTACAGGTAAACATTATTGTACCTTTACAGGTAAACATTGTTGTACCTTTACAGGTAAATATTACCTTGTGTACCTGTACAGGTAAACATTATTGTACCTTTACAGGTAAACATTATTGTACCTTTACAGGTAAACATTATTGTACCTTTACAGGTAAACATTGTTGTACCTTTACAGGTAAATATTGTTGTACCTGTACAGGCAAATATGAGGATACCTTTACAGGTAAACATTATTGTACCTTTACAGGTAAACATTGTTGTACCTTTACAGGTAAACATTATTGTACCTTTACAGGTAAACATTGTTGTACCTTTACAGGTAAACATTATTGTACCTTTACAGGTAAACATCATTGTACCTTTACAGGTAAACATTATTGTACCTGTACAGGTAAACATTATTGTACCTTTACAGGTAAACATTATTGTACCTTTACAGGTAAACATTATTGTACCTATACAGATAAACATTTTTGTACCTGTACAGGTAAACTTTATTGTACCTTTACAGGTAAACATTATTGTACCTGTACAGGTAAACATCATTGTACCTTTACAGGTAAACATTATTGTACATTAACAGGTAAACATTATTGTACCTTTACAGGTAAACATCATTGTACCTTTACAGGTAAACATTATTGTACCTTTACAGGCAAATATGATGATACCTTTACAGGTAAACATTATTGTACCTATACAGATAAACATTATTGTACCTGTACAGGTAAACATTATTGTACCTGTACAGGTAAACATTATTGTACCTGTACAGGTAAACATTATTGTACCTGTACAGGTAAACATTATTGTACCTGTACAGGTAAACATTATTGTACCTGTACAGGTAAACATTATTGTACCTGTACAGGTAAACATTATTGTACCTTTACAGGTAAACATTATTGTACCTGTACAGGTAAACATTATTGTACCTGTACAGGTAAACATTATTGTACCTGTACAGGTAAACATTATCCTACCTTATACATATTTTCACTGTGATCCTGTTATACTACTTGAAATGTTGCAATAATTTCACTTTCTGTATTTCGTTTATTGCATTTGCACAAGTTCATTAATAAATTATCACACACTAAAATCTGATGTTGACAAATATATATGTTTACAGTATGTTTTTGGAGATCTTGAATAGTAGAACAAAATGAATGATATCATACACTGATGTTGATAATTGATCTATGACAGGGACTTGTGCAGGACAAGCTAATACTGCATGCCTCCTGGAATCCCAACCACAAGTTTGTTCATGGGTTCTACTTCTACTGTATCCCACAGGTCAAGGACAAGGGGAAAGGTCAGTAATGGGGTCAATTGAAATACTAATAAGACATGATTTCAGTTAATACTGGTACTTAGAGATATATAAACTATCCTTTTCCTATGTCATAAATCTTCTTTTCAAACCAAAGTGTATTATGGATCTGTAATCTGTAAGGGAGATAACTAGAAGTTGACACCAGTAGGTGTTTATATCTGAGGAACATACAACAAACTGTTATGATAGGTATTAATTGAACAATTGTTCGAAAGATTTAACAGGTTAAAGGATCCTAAACAATTTTTACGTTTTAAATCTCTTTTGATAATGCTACATATTTGGTAGTATATACACACAACCATTCTAGAGGTTCTATTCATGTTTTTATAAATGTCTTACCAAACACCCAGTAAAACATCCACAAATATTTACCTAGATATTGAGCAGCAGCCAGCAAACCCCTTGTTCCAAAGGAATTTTTTTGAGGTGACTTTCTTACCAGTGGATGAACAAGACAGTCAGTGTCAGCCATCGTCACACCTCAATGATCCCAATAGGTCGCGATCCCTCTCCTCTATCAACCCTGCCACAGATGACTGGAGAATGGAGATGAGTATGGACACAGACATTATGAAGTGGGGGCAACAGTCTGGTCAGTACACACAGAAATGTTCACTAGGTCTGGTCAGTACACACAAGAAATGTTCACTAGGTCTGGTCAGTTCACACAAGAAATGTTCACTAGGTCTGGTCAGTACACACAAGAAATGTTCACTAGGTCTGGTCAGTACACACAGAAATGTTCACTAGGTCTGGTCAGTACACACAAGATATGTTCACTAGGTCTGGTCAGTTCACACAAGAAATGTTCACTAGGTCTGGTCAGTGCACACAAGACATGTTCACTAGGTCTGGTCAGTACACACAAGAAATGTTCACTAGGTCTGGTCAGTACACACAAGAAATGTTCACTAGGTCTGGTCAGTGCACACAAGAAATGTTCACTAAGTCTGGTCAGTACACACAAGATATGTTCATTAGGTCTGGTCAGTACACACAAGAAATGTTCACTAGGTCTGGTCAGTTCACACAAGACATGCTCATTAGGTCTGGTCAGTTCACACAAGAAATGTTCACTAGGTCTGGTCAGTGCACACAAGAAATGTTCACTAAGTCTGGTCAGTACACACAAGATATGTTCATTAGGTCTGGTCAGTACACACAAGAAATGTTCACTAGGTCTGGTCAGTTCACACAAGAAATGTTCACTAGGTCTGGTCAGTACACACAAGAAATGTTCACTAGGTCTGGTCAGTTCACACAAGAAATGTTCACTAGGTCTGGTCAGTACACACAAGAAATGTTCACTAGGTCTGGTCAGTACACACAAGACATGTTCACTAGGTCTGGTCAGTACACACAAGACATGCTCATTAAGGCAAACAATTGTTCTTGAACCTGATTCTTTTTATAGACACAGTTTGATATTATTGTATTTGAGAGCAATAAAAAGCCAACAGTTCAGTAAACATGTTTCTACTCACTACTCATTTTGTTTAGTTTCTAATCAACACAATATCAGCTTTCATTAGGACACATTCTAATGCTTTGCATTATAAGTACATCACTTGAAACTAGTTATATATTTATAATGGAAAATTGTATTAATGTTGAATTTTACAGCAACACTCCTCCACAAATTTGTCACCATTGATGTGGATGTATTAGACAAGAGTGACCGACCGGAGTGGGCTACGGTACGATACCACTCATACTATAGCCCTGCCTGTGCTTTCCAGCTACAGATTCAGTGGATGGTGGCAACAGGCAGTATCCTTGGTGAACTGGTATGTATGTCAGAATACCATTGACAATAGTCACTCTCGCTGGTGAACTGGTGTGTATGTCAGAATACCATTGACAACAGTAGTCTGGTGTGTATGTCAGAATACCATTGACAACAGTCTCGCTGGTGAACTGGTGTGTATGTCAGAATACCATTGACAATAGTCACTCTCGCTGGTGAACTGGTGTGTATGTCAGAATACCATTGACAACAGTCACTCTCGCTGGTGAACTGGTGTGTATGTCAGAATACCATTGACAATAGTCACTCTCGCTGGTGAACTGGTGTGTATGTCAGAATACCATTGACAATAGTCACTCTCGCTGGTGAACTGGTGTGTATGTCAGAATACCATTGACAACAGTCTCTCTCTTTGTGGTCAAACTCATCCCTCTGGTACTAATTTCTGTGATAGTGGAGATATAACCATTAACAACAGTCTCTCTCTTTGTGGTCTAACTCATCCCTCTGATACTTATTTGTGTGATAGTGGTGATGTAACCACTGACAACAGTTCCAGAACCCTATACCCATCAACTTTCCTACCACAGGTGTATAGCTGGGCCAGGAAGATGAGCAGTTGTGGATTTCACATGATACCTGTACCTGTGGACCCCTTCGCTCTGCCATCTGCCCCAGACTCGGACTCCCTCCGTGGACCCATATTTGTACCTCTTGACATCGACTGTTTGTCAGAAGGGGGAACAAGCATCACAAAAGGTTTGTGTTAGAATTATCTACCTCATCACTTAAAGACAGTAATATTGTAATAGGAAGATATGGGTAATGTGTTTCTGCTGCATGTATTGTTACACCTTCTAACACAAGTATTGTTACACCTTCTAACACAAGTTTTGTTACACCTTCTAACACAAGTATTGTTACACCTTCTAACACAAGTTTTGTTACACCTTCTAACACAAGTATTGTTACACCTTCTAACACAAGTATTGTTACACCTTCTAACACAAGTATTGTTACACCTTCTAACACAAGTATTGTTACACCTTCTAACACAAGTATTGTTACACCTTCTAACACATGTATTGTTACACCTTCTAACACAAGTATTGTTACACCTTCTAACACATGTATTGTAAAGTATTGTTACACCTTCTAACACAAGTATTGTTACACCTTCTAACACATGTATTGTTACACCTTCTAACACAAGTATTGTTACACCTTCTAACACAAGTATTGTTACACCTTCTAACACAAGTTTTGTTACACCTTCTAACACAAGTATTGTTACACCTTCTAACACAAGTATTGTTACACCTTCTAACACAAGTATTGTTACACCTTCTAACACAAGTTTTGTTACACCTTCTAACACATGTATTGTAAAGTATTGTTACACCTTCTAACACAAGTATTGTTACACCTTCTAACACAAGTATTGTTACACCTTCTAACACAAGTATTGTTACATCTTCTAACACAAGTTTTGTTACACCTTCTAACACATGTATTGTTACACCTTCTAACACAAGTATTGTTACACCTTCTAACACATGTATTGTAAAGTATTGTTACACCTTCTAACACATGTATTGTTACACCTTCTAACACAAGTATTGTTACACCTTCTAACACAAGTATTGTTACATCTTCTAACACAAGTTTTGTTACACCTTCTAACACATGTATTGTTACACCTTCTAACACAAGTATTGTTACACCTTCTAACACATGTATTGTAAAGTATTGTAAAGTATTGTTACACCTTCTAACACATGTATTGTAAAGTATTGTTACACCTTCTAACACATGTATTGTAAAGTATTGTTACACCTTCTAACACATGTATTGTAAAGTATTGTTACACCTTCTAACACAAGTATTGTTACACCTTCTAACACAAGTTTTGTTACACCTTCTAACACAAGTTTTGTTACACCTTCTAACACAAGTATTGTTACATCTTCTAACACAAGTATTGTTATACCTACTACCACATCTAATGTTCTCATATTCTCACATTTTGAATTTCATCATTTTTCAATCGGAAGTAAATATTTTGTCGTGGTCATGATTAAAATCTTTATGACTGAAGTGCTTGTTATTATGGTCATTTTAAGAGCAGTTTATTAAGGAGACATTTGATTTTCTCACAGGACACGGTCAGAGTTGGAGAGAAAAACTTCACAGCTTCCAAATAGCCATTATCAGACGGTCAGTATAACAATCAGCACAGTCTATCCAGACTAGACACTGAGATGGATGGCACATGTTTGTCTCCTGGTGTATGGTGCTAATGTTTCCTAATCTTTAAAAGTCACAAGCAGGTTTACCTATTAATGATACAAAGATTTTCACGAATTACTATCTCTTCTGGTTCAAACTTGATGCAGAATTTTCTTTATAATATTAATGGTGAAGCTCATTATCAATGGAAATCGTTTATGTTCAGGTTTGGTTTCATGCCTGCTGGTGTGCGGGACATCTCAGAAGATGCCTATCCCATGGGTCAAGGAGAGGATTATAGCCACTATGTCCACTGTACAGGTGGAAACTTTATATTGATGGAGGACAGTCACGTCTCTTCACCTGTGGTAAAGGACACACCCTACAGTTCCAGCTTTAACAAGAAATCTACGGCAGAGCTCCGTAAAGACTACATTAAGCGTTCACAGTCTAGTCAGTTCCAACAACCAGAACAGGAGGCTGAGAGTAAGATTGGCTATCTCTGGTCCTGGAACTTTATGTCTTCTAAAAGATGGCGATCAGGAAATACAGGCGACGAATTCTTTCAAGATAAAATGTTAGCTGATTTCCGTGATTTTTGCTCAAACAAGGAAAATCGACTACAAGAATTTTGGTTAGAATGGTATAATCCTTTTCAGCTGCCTATGTTAGGCAAGGAAACCACCATGTGATGTCATCGGTCAAAAAATTCCTGATATAAATAGAATATGTAGTACTAGGTTTGTGATAGAGTCAGAGGTCAAAGAGTTCATCCTCAGAATCTTTTCAGTCCATAGCTTCTTCTGTATAACATCTTACTCACAAACAAGTGGATTATTTTATGTTTAAGACACACTGATATGTTAAGTTTTGCCAGAAATCTGGTATGTCAAGTTTTGCCAGAAATCTATATGCAATTTTTTTTCACAGAATTTACTCTCGTCTTCATGTTGTTGGGCAAGCATGTTGCACTTTATGGCAGACATCAACTACAACTTATTATGCCCCCACGAAAAATTTTCAGGGGAACACATAATCGCTGCCAAGCCCTTTTATCTGTCCATCCTTTCATATCTGGATCATAATTTTCCCACAATTAAGCAAGAAACATGAAAGTTAGTGTATATATTGATTATGCAAAGAAAATGTGCTGTGTACCCTATTCAGGGCCTTAGACCCCTCAATTACAGAGTTATTGCCCTTTTTAAAAAATATCATGTGTAGAGCATGATTTAGCATGCATTTAAGGTAGGATAATGAAACAGGGTTTATACATTGATCATGGGAAGACAATGTGCAATGTACCAATGTTAGGTCCTACAGCCCCTTGATTACAGAGGTATTGCCCCTTGTTAGAATTTTGTGTCATGAGCATGATTTCGCCTGCATTTAAACTAGGATATTGAAACATCATGTACACATCAGTCATACAAAAGAATGGTGCAGTGTAGCATAGTCAGGGTCCATGACCCCTTTGTACAGAGTTGTTGCCCTTTGTTAAAATTTGTGTTGTGAGAATAGCTTTGCTAGGATCATAAAACTTGTTGTATACATTGGTGACAGATTACAGAGTTATTGTCCTTTGTTATAATGTTAAGTCAAAGAAGTGGTTTTGAGGAAGCTTTCATCAATTTCACTGATACTGTTTTCTCATTATTTACTAATGAATTTCTAATCTTGATTGTCCAGCATAAAAAGTTTATCATGTACTAAGAGATAAAGAAACTAATTCTTTTACTCAAGGTCCAGACAATGTACAAGACCGTTTAATAAAAGTCTTTACAATGTTCATTATAAGAAGCAAGAAGGCAACAGATTTTGAATTATTTCCTACGTAATCGGCAAAATCAGACTTAAATTGTTGTAATCTCAGTAACAGAATGTCCTGATAAATCTTAATGGAAAGGTGGATGAGATGATGTAGATCACTAACTACAATTTTTGTACGTAATACCAGGGACGTATATGACAGACATATACGTCCCTGGTAATACACAGATACACAACAGATGTCTTTAGAAGTCTTGGTACAGGAACAAAGTTGCTGGAAGAAAAATCCTTTTTACAACATTTTGATTGTTCCTATATGCCAATGTTACACATTAGAATGGCTTGGCACAACACTCTGGCCCAAAGTTGTGTATTTATTTATTAATCAATTAAATGGTTTTCTCACATGGTCGATCATATATAAAGATGGTCGCTATGCCAATAAATGTGAGCGAACAATTGTGGTTTATATTTTTTTTATTTATGTATATGTTTACATATAATATATAAAAGATACACATGATATATACTGTATTATACAAAATATCTGGTGGGAAATTCTTTCCATGTCCATGTGATTCTTTAAACAGCAAGGTACGACATACAATAAGGGAGATAACTCTATCATTCTCCAGTAATATCTTCCAGGTGGAATCATTCAACAGACCTATAGAGAATGTCGCAGTATTGAAAATCTGGAAGAGGCATTGCCAAAAACAAGGACAATATCATTATGTAATGGTCCTTATTTCACAAACAAACAACCTGTCGGGTAAAAATGGACGCACCAGTCAAAATACACAAGGGAGGGCATGTAACAATGGGATAGGGCTTGTGTGACGATGAAATATGAGAGAAATTTACCAGTTAGTAATTTATTAATGATAATGTACTCTAGAAGCCCTCATCCAGCAACAATGATAGACAGCACTGTACATAACCGATAGGAACAACCAAAATTATGAATCACGATGAAAATCTCTTTCCAATATCAACTAACTTGATTACACATGTAGGTTCCACCGTCATGTTTCCCTTCGGATATGCTTATGTAGTAGTTAATCCTTAGAAAATTATTTTGACGGTCTACGTCACGGTCAACTCAGAGAAAAATCACTTGTGACTCGTACCTGCGGGGAGGACATCAGTAAAATTATGTTTAAATTAGAATTCTTAATCGAAACCGGGTCTCGGGCGTGATCATCAACCAACTCTACCAACAAAGCCATAGAAGCATGCTCCGTCAGCTGAGTGACAGAGGCCGTATTTAACACTATATACAAGTCACATCGACCCGTCAGTTGAGTGACAGAGGCCGTATTTAACACTATATACAAGTCACATCGACCCGTCAGTTGAGTGACAGAGGCCGTATTTAACACTATATACAAGTCTCGTCGACCCGCCAGCAGAGTGACAACCGTATTTAACACTATATACAAACCACACCGACCCAACAGCTGAGTGACAGAGGCCGAATTTAATACAATATACAAACCACACCGACCCAACAGTGACAGAGACTGTATGTAACACTATATACAAGTCACATCGACCCGTCACTATATACAAACCACACTGAGTGACAGAGACCGAATTTAATACAATTAACACTATATACAATACCACACCTACCCAACAGCTGAGTGACACAGAGACCGTATTTAACACTATATACAAACCACACCGACCCAACAGCTGAGTGACAGAGGCCGAATTTAATACAATATACAAACCACACCTACCCAACAGCTGAGTGACAGAGACCGTATTTAACGCTATATACAAGCCTCACCGACCCGTCAGCTGAGTGACAGAGACCGTATTTAACGCTATATACAAGCCACACCGACTCGTCAGCTGAGTGACAGAGGCCGTATTTTACACTATATGCAAGCCACACCAACCACTTTCTACTGCACAAGTATGTTGACGATATGATAGTTATATACTAACATTGCCGGCGCCTTCAGTCAGAATTTGACACTGAAACAATGATACTGCGACAAAGTGGATTTTTCTGATTTATGTAGAGATAACATTACCTTAGGATACTTTCACAAACGTCTACATGTAACACTAGTCAAGTCGAGTATCGTTTAAAAAACACACAAATGACACGCACAAAGCCAGTGTTACCCTTAGGTTAATGGGATAGGGACTGTGTTTCCTCAATTACCACACGAAAACGTGTTTGATATCAACGGTTTTACGTAATGATAATATGGTATTATTTCAATTTAAATACCGAGCCGAGGTGTGGTGGCCTTGTAACTTGAGGTGGCACTCAACTGTATCCGACTGAGCGATTTATGTATGCTAACTGGTTCCGGCGTGCTTCACAAAGTGTCTGAACACATATAGGTTACATACCTCTGTTAACCGCCGTGGTTACAGTGTCATGTAAAAAACCTGTAAAACATTGTGTCACGCTTTTCGACTACACTGTCACTTTCATCGAACTTGTGTAAAGAGCATTGTCACAGAATTATGAAAACACGGAATAATGAGCGTTACGGGGGAAGTTAGAAGTGTACCTAACATTGGAAATAAAAATATGTACATGATGTTGGGAGTCTGAAGTGTACGCAATGTATGGAGTGTGAAGTGTACGTAATGTACGGGGTTTGAAGTGTACATGATGTTGGGAGTCTGAAGTGTACGTAATGTATGGAGTGTGAAGTGTACGTAATGTACGGAGTTTGAAGTGTATGTTATGTATGGAGTTTGAAGTGTATGTTATGTATGGAGTGTGAAGTGTATGTTATGTATGGAGTGTGAAGTGTATGTAATGTATGAAGTTTGAAGTGTATGTTATGTATGGAGTGTGAAGTGTATGTAATGTATGAAGTTTGAAGTGTATGTTATGTATGGAGTGTGAAGTGTATGTTATGTATGGAGTGTGAAGTGTATGTAATGTATGGAGTTTGAAGTGTATGTTATGTATGGAGTTTGAAGTGTATGCTTTGTATGGAGTGTGAAGTGTACGTAATGTATGGAGTGTGAAGTGTATAATATGTATGGAGTGTGAAGTGTATGTTATGTATGGAGTTTGAAGTGTATGTAATGTATGGAGTGTGAAGTGTACGTAATGTATGGAGTTTGAAGTGTATGTAATGTATGGAGTTTGAAGTGTATGTTATGTATGGAGTGTGAAGTGTATGTTATGTATGGAGTTTGAAGTGTATGTTATGTATGGAGTGTGAAGTGTATGCTTTGTATGGAGTGTAATGTGTACGTAATGTATGGAGTTTGAAGTGTATGTTATGTATGAAGTTTGAAGTGTATGCTTTGTATGGAGTCTGAAGTGTACGTAATGTATGGAGTGTGAAGTGTACGTAATGTACGGAGTTTGAAGTGTACATGATGTTGGGAGTCTGAAGTGTACATGATATTGGGAGTCTGAAGTGTACGTAATGTACGGAGTTTGAAGTGTATGTAATGTACAGAGTTTGAAGTGTATGTTATGTATGGAATGTGAAGTGTATGTTGTGTATGGAGTGTGAAGTGTATGTTATGTATGGAGTGTGAAGTGTATGTTATGTATGGAGTGTGAAGTGTATGTTATGTATGGAGTTTGAAGTGTACGCTATGTACGGACTTTGAAGTGTATGTTATGTACGGAGTTTGAAGTGTAAGTTATGTTGGAAGTATTTGTGAATCCTATGTCCCTGTAGGCAAGATGACATGTATATCAAGAGAGACAATGAACCGTCTTACCTAGTTTGTTATATCGAGAGAAACAATGAACCGTCTTACCTAGTTTGTTATATCGAGAGAGACAAGGAACCGTCTTACCTAGTTTGTTATATCGAGAGACAATGAACCGTCTTACCTAGTTTGTTATATCGTGAGAGACAATGAACCGTCTTACCTAGTTTGTTATATCGAGAGAGACAATGAACCGTCTTACCTAGTTTTTTATCGAGATAGACAATGAACCGTCTTACCTAGTTTGTTATATCGAGAGAGACAATGAACCGTCTTACCTAGTTTGTCGTATCAAGAGAGACAATGAACTGTCTTACCTAGTTTGTTATATCGAGAGAGACAATGAACCGTCTTACCTAGTTTTTTATCAAGAGATACAATGAACCGTCTTATCTAGTTTTTTATATCGAGAGAGACAATGAACCGTCTTACCTAGTTTGTTATATCGAGAGAGACAATGAACCGTCTTACCTAGTTTGTTATATCGAGAGAGACAATGAACTGTCTTACCTAGTTTGTTATATCGAGAGAGACAATGAACCGTCTTACCTAGTTTTTATCGAGAGAGACGATGAACCGTCTTACCTAGTTTGTCATATCAAGAGAGACAATGAACTGTCTTACCTAGTTTGTTATATCGAGAGAGACAATGAACCGTCTTACCTAGTTTTTATCGAGAGAGACGATGAACCGTCTTACCTAGTTTTGATCAAGAGAGACAATGAACCGTCTTACCTAGTTTGTTATATCGAGAGAGACAATGAACCGTCTTACCTAGTTTGTCATATCAAGAGAGAAAATGAACAGTCTTACCTAGTTTGTTATATCGAGAGAGACAATGAACCGTCTTACCTAGTTTGTTATATCGAGAGAGACAATGAACCGTCTTACCTAGTTTGTTATATCGAGAGAGACAATGAACCGTCTTACCTAGTTTGTTATATCGAGAGAGACAATGAACCGTCTTACCTAGTTTGTTATATCGAGAGAGACAATGAACCGTCTTACCTAGTTTTTATCAAGAGATACAATGAACCGTCTTACCTAGTTTGTTATATCGAGAGAGACAATGAACCGTCTTACCTAGTTTGTTATATCGAGAGAGACAATGAACCGTCTTACCTAGTTTGCTATATCGAGAGAGACAATGAACCGTCTTACCTAGTTTGTTATATCGAGAGACAATGAACCGTCTTACCTAGTTTTTATCAAGAGATACAATGAACCGTCTTACCTAGTTTTTTATATCGAGAGAGACAATGAACCGTCTTACCTAGTTTGTTATATCGAGAAAGACAATGAACCGTCTTACCTAGTTTTTATCGAGAGAGACGATGAACTGTCTTACCTAGTTTGTTATATCAAGAAAGACAATGAACCGTCTTACCTAGTTTGTTATATCGAGAGAGACAATGAACTGTCTTACCTAGTTTGTTATATCGAGAGACAATGAACCGTCTTACCTAGTTTGTTATATCGAGAGAGACAATGAACCGTCTTACCTAGTTTGTTATATCGAGAGAGACAATGAACCGTCTTACCTAGTTTGTTATATCGAGAGAGACAATGAACCGTCTTACCTAGTTTGTTATATCGAGATATACAAGTGTGTGATATCGAGATAAAAATGAAACGACATACCAAGTATGTTAGATATCGAGAAATGCATATATTTCGAGATAGGCAACCATATGATGTTGTAATCATTTGACAAGGATATGTACATCCGTTGTTTTTCTTGACATTTGATTCATAACTAGATATTTACATAAACAATTCTGTCTAAATCTATTTTACAATCAGAATACATGATATAAACAGAATCATTAGCCGGAGTGATTCCCTAGGGGGTCAACTCAATACAGATAATATCATCACTGCCTTCTGTGAGGGAATATTGTAGGCTGACCGTGTTCACTAGTATTCCAGCCTTTGATGCGAGTCAGGTAAAAAATCATAGATAATTGTATAATGATAGATTTAGAGATAAGTTTTCATAGTCTTTGTCTTACTTAGGATGTTATGTAAATGTGTATGTGATGGCGAGGATAAAAAATAAGTAACAGCGTGGATAAATATTATTACTGACTGTGAGGAAAAACAGTTTATGTCAGGAGATCAAGGTGTACGTAATTCTGGAGTGAAAATGCTCTAAATGTATCGCGTACATAGCATTTCGAGTCAATATGATACTGAAAGGCATGAAAGGAAGTTGGAGAAAAATTGTACGTTATATTCGGACTTCAAAGTCTCTTTAATCAACATACCTTGAACACCTGGGTAAGATCATTTAGAAGTTTCGTTGCTTGTTAACCTTTGGTACCATTATAATGAAATTACACTAGTATTAGTATGTACTGGATTTAAAAGATTTGTCTGATGAATACTTATACAGAGCGAGATAATTAATCCTAAACTCTGCCCCCATTCTTAGTTCAACCTAAACACTTTCACGTTTTATTACTTTTTTATCTATTGAATATGAGACTTGTGGGAATACATGTACTCTAGGACGTCATGTTTCATGCAAAGCTTCTCTTTATAAAGTACAAACAAAAACACACTTTGATCATTTCTCATTTAATCAATAAGATCCATTCACATCAAAATTTCTGATGACCAAAACGTTTGATCCATTGAAGAACACAAAGTACCAGACGGGAAGTGTGTCTCGGTGTAACACAGACCACTGACTGTAAACAAGGTATGGCTTCTCCATCAATACTACAAGTTTAGTGTGGAGAATATTTCCTATTACAAACTATATGAATGTTAAAGCTATCAGATAAGAGTATTTTATTATTGAACCCGTTTGAAATTCATATAAACGACAAACCTGTAAATGGACTACAGAGAGTTATTTGATGACAGAATAAGCAGTAATGCATGTCTATATGTATTTGTATTGTCAAAAATATATGCCTGAATACGGCAATTAATACGATAAAAATTAGTACTGATATGAAGTGGAATACAACTGACACGTGACATGGGGATGAGGTGAATATAACACTAATCTCCATCATACATCAAAATACTTAAATTATATTTCATAAACAAGAAACACACATTTAATAAAGAAAATAAAGGAAAGCACGCGTTTAAAAAAAATTCGTAAAACGATTTGATGTAGATTTTCAACATTTACAACTAAACAGTACAGTTGAACATATTTTAAAACTTTGCCATTTATCAGTTTAAATTGACTAATGTGTGTTAGCGCCAATTTACGTACAACTCCAAATTTCTTGTGGTTAAATATTTACGTCAAGCCGATACTCTTGGTGAAGGATGATTCTACCAGGTCGCGCGGTACACGACTGGTGTCCATGGTACTGACCACACATTTTGTATACATCACGTGCACCAGTGACATCACCCTGACGACGTCGCACCTCCCTCAACAGTTGGTAAGATTGTAGGTTGGTTTTGTCAAGGTAGAGGGAATAGGACAATTTACTTACAGCTTTATCGTACAGACCAAAAGTTAACAACCAGTTAGCCTCATAATCTAGTATCTTACAGCTCGGGCCAAGTGGTATGTTGCGTGCTATCGACTTCAGTTTAGCTTCGTTATCAGAAGCTAACGAACGTTTCAAAATTCTCATGTCCCCCGTACGATATACCTCCTGGAACCCAACATCGACAAATGGTCGGTCGGTCGACATGACTAGATAGTTATACACAGGTTTATTGATGAGGATCTTCAGCAGATAGGGGGTGTTATAAACGGACACAAAGTCACTGATCTGTGTGAGGAGAGTCAATGATAAATTATCCGCCTGACTAAAGTATGGTAACGTTGACTTGTGCGAGAGTTTGGAGTCCACATCAAACTCGTAAAACTCGTTGTGGATTAAGGCAATTAGTGGTACGTTTTTGTGGAGCGTGGAAAAACCGCCTGTTGTGTGCACTGACGTATCCAAGAATACACCAGTGGCGTCATTTTGTTGACGTAAAAAGTCTAAACACTTGTTAACATGGTTGGTGTTTTTGATGTCCCGGAATGCCCACCCAGAAGCTGGACTTGGGAAATATCGCCACTGACTAGAGTACAAGTAGGCTACAATAGCCAACACAATACTGTGAGATAACAGACTACCTTTATCACGACCTAGATATCCTTTACATGTTTTGATTAGGACTATAATAAAACTAGAGTAAAATATCAACAATAAAACAATAAAATCATGTACAAATCTTACCTCCTTGTGACTATTTAATGAATGAGTGATAAAAACTGCCAACAATGTCATAAATAACTTGACATTAGCTGACATGTATTGTTCATGGTAACTAATTTGGTTACACTTCACTGCCATAAATGTCAATGCGCTGACAACCAAGCACACAAACATGACTTCATCATGGACAAAAAGCTCCCACAAGTAAAAACTCCAATGCTTTTTACCGAAGAAAATCGCGGATTTATCTCTCAGTACATTGAAACTAAACCACTGCCAAGGGGAGATAACCAATGTACCGTAACTATTGTAATCATCAAAAATACCAACAGAAAATCCTATCAATATCCCTAAACAATATAACAAAAACGGATGTGACATCAGTAATTTACAGTTGCACACACATTTCAAATATGGCAAAATGGCAAATGCTACAAATATGAAAAGATCGGCTCTGACATATAGGCACAATGCTAAGATAAAGCCCGAGAATAAACAAGTAAAATGTTGCATCCGTAGAGAGGTTCCGAACGGACATTTATCACAATCAAGACTCTCTGTAGGCATAGTCTTCACTGCTTCTTTCTTTATTTGTTTTTCTGTTTTTTCACGTGATGACCGTTTTCGACTTCCGGTCACGGTGTCAGACGCTAATGAAGAAGGTGTAGGTTCAGTCTGTTCTTTTGACGTAGATTGGTCTTCATTCCCTCTACAAACAGTTTTAGTGGTGCTATAAACATTGTTTGGGATGACGTCTAGTATATCATTATTCGGATGCAGACTTCCATTATTATTCGGTGTCATGTGATCAGTTTTTACGCGTTCTGGGAAATTCTCGTAAGTTCCTTGTTTTCTATTGGTTAGGTTTCTTTGTTCTAGTGTTTGACGGTCTGGTTTGTGTAGATCTTGGGAATTATGGTTGAAATCCGTGTCGATATGGTCATCTATTACGCCTAATTGGTCGTAATCTGTCGGGGTGTCACCAAAGTTGGTCACGTGTTTCCGGTCTCTACTCTTTAACGTGTTGCGCTCGAATTTTAAATGTGGTGCAGTTACCCGACTTGGTTTCGTACAATGATGTATAATTTCGTAAATGATGCCCTTGTGTATATTGGTCAGTTGGTTTTCGGTTAGGTGAATTGATGTATACAGCGTGTTTGTAATCTCTGTATTTGGTATGTCACTATTTCCGAGACAGTTAACAGTTTTTGATTTTCCAAACTCGCCATTACCGTTTTTCAGAAGCACTACATTTACATGATCCGTTTTCATCGTGCCCATTGTTTCCGGTTCCTTATTACTGTGTTCGTAATTTTTCATTCCCGTCCGATTCTGATTTGCCACTACCATTTCCTGTCGTTCTGAACTCTTTTCTCTAGCTGACAAGTTGTCTTCTGACTTAATTGTGATGTTTCTTGACTTATCAGAGATGTTAACATTGACTTCCGCTTCCGGCGTAGTGATTAAGTTATGCATTTCTGGTTTGTCTACCAATAATCTAAATAACGGCACCAGTGCCCAGAATAGGAACGGTGAAATAAAGCTATTGAGTAGAGTGTGCGTTCCCAGCACATACGTGAAGACAGATGTTGATGAAAGGACGGACGCTAATACCGCAACATCACGTGATTTATACAGAATCTTGGTGAAGGTGTAAACAGCCAAAGGCAAACATGACGTCACAGAGGTATGGAATATCTTCCAGAACTGAAATGGTAGAAAATGTATGATCACCTTAATCTTTTACTGAATACAAATCATTATTTTTAAGCATTGTAACTTTCCCATTTACCGTTTTAAGTTTTGAACAAGTATTGGAACATTGCAGCCATGAATCCAGTCCCTGATTACGACTACTCCCTGTTTATATCTCTCTTAACAAACGTATAGATCAGCATACCCAACATACACCAGTCAGATGTCACCACCACCATACACCAGTCAGATGTCGTCATCAACATTCCAACTCCCCAATTTTGTTGTAATATGGTAATAGTGAAGCAGAAGCTATTTACTTACAAGCATTGGCGAGCCAGTGTACCCAAAAACAGTAGCTACGTGGAGTGCTATCACCAGCAGTTTCGGGTACAAGAAGGAGCGCAGGCTGTACATTCCCAACAGATTCTCCTGCAATCGTCCGACGGAAGTTGAGTTGGCGCCCTCTAGCGGCGGCATGTACTCGTATGGCCTGAATCCGTATCCATAAAATTCGGAATGGGCAACTGGGGAGAGAAAGAGACATTTGTCAAGGCAAAAATAAAGGAAAAGACCATACACTATTATGAACATGTTCCATGCTCTGCCATTGTCATATATCTTTCTTTATCTCATGTTAGACCGTGTTACGCGACCGATCAAGTGACTGTGACATTCTGAAGTAACTTAGGGGTACATAGCGCTCCCTGGTAATGGTTGTCAGCATCGAACAAGAAGCCCAAGGATTGGCTAGTCTGTTGTTTATTTGTTGGTTCGTGGTTAAAGTCTTCAAAACAACCAGAAACCACCTTCCATTCTGCAGAGCGTTAGGTAGGGTGGAGGGAGATGGGGGTTTCAGATGTACAACATTATACAGTGAGATACCTGAAGTCCGGGAAGTTTAGGGAGGAGAGGGAATCGCCACTAACGACATTGGGGGAAAACAATTGTACGTAAAGTAGGTTTGTTGACAAACAAACCAACAACATGTTTCGTGATTATACACGGGAGAAAATATTTAGTCTCTGGTCACAAGTCCTTATCCGTCAATCACGTTAGCACGACGGGATCTCATTAACCTTTGACCTGATGTGGAAACGGTAATAAATTGTACCAAGTCAACCGTGTCTGTGTGAACATTCCACCTAAACTTTGACTGAGACGTATCAATGTAAATGTTTACATTACATTTAATGAAACTGCGAATAAATCAGTACTGTCATACAAAAGTCTCGGACACCAAATACTTCAACGATCCTGGGTGGGCGGTATCGGCGCGTTCGACACTATCTCCCGAAATCTCCAAGATAAATGGATCTGTAACAAAAGGTGTTTGGAATGTTTTATCCGCGATGACAGACAGGCACATTGATACGGATTTACGACAAGGGAGTACTAGTAATCTAGTACATAAATATATAAACATGACAGGTACAGAACCCGGTAAGTATAACAAACTACTTGAACGTATCAGTCGGGGCCTAAAGGAAACCATGTGAGGCCCTCTGTTCGACACTGATACAAAGTTTTGACATCATGTCCAGCTTCTGGTGGCGCTTATCAGTTTAAAACAATTTCTGACAAGAGGGAAAGGCAGAGACTTTGTGATGGGACTAACAGGAGAGGGCTAGGGGGGATACTGTCTGAAAGTAGAAGACAGAGATTTTGTGCTGGGACTAACAGGAGAGGGCTAGGGGGATACTGTCTGAAAGGAGAAGACAGAGATTTTGTGCTGGGACTAACAGGAGAGGGCTAGGGGGATACTGTCTGAAAGGAGAAGACAGAGACTTTGTGCTGGGACTAACAGGAGAGGGCTAGGGGGATACTGTCTGAAAGTAGAAGACAGAGATTTTGTGCTGGGACTAAACACATTAGTCTTGGGAACGACCGGAACATCAATCTCAAATGCAACTTTTAATGTTTTAATTACAACACTGAGGGGGATGCTAAGTAAAGTCTTTGTTTCGTAATTATATGTCGTATTCAGATATCTAAATTGTAAATCAGTCTAGTATATTCCGTCCACAATTTACTTTAGGATATAAAAACGTAGTTGTACATCAGTACACTAGGTCCTGTATCAGGTTTTATGGTGAATATTCATGTCTGTCCAGCTCATCGTAATACGATATCTCCGGGCGGCAATTCGGAATAAATTAGAATCATCGCTTTAAGTCACACTCGACTTCTGAGGAACAGAAATAAACGGCTTGACATTCCACAGAACAGTGATAATTAATTCACAGAGATCGTTTAATGACTACTAAAACGCAGGATCGACCGTTCACACCGAAATGAATGTTTTACAATATTTTGGCATTACACGAGCATATCTATTATCACTGCTTATCTAGTTATATAAGAAACTATAGATTACACATGCAACCATGGAAGCGGCCATGGGGACTCCCAAGGCTAGTAATTTCTGCCTGTCTGCCAATCGGCTCTATATAAATATTACCAAGCGCTTACAGTTACCCGAGGAAATATTACAGAATCAACAAAACAGTGGCGTGTTACTCAAATTACGAATGGTACTGAGCGTTATTTTTTTTTTTTTTTTGTTAGATTGAATTTCTTGCTTCCGTACGTAAAGACATCAAAAATATATAGAAACTAACAAAAAAAATCCACTAAAATACCGTGATCATATTTATTACGTAAAATAGAGGTCGGCTTATGACGAAGTAAACTTGTGTATGTGAGTAGAAAGATGTGCTTTTGGAATAGAACTCTTTATGTAGAATAGGAAAGAAAAATGCCACGGACGACATGAAATAAGGCCAGTCATGGAGACAATAATTGGTCTCAAAGTAGGGCAACACGTAACCGAATAATACGCGCAGACAATACCGTACCCGGCACCCCCCGTCGTGTGTGAAAGGAATTCCGAATGGAATGTCGTACTACGGAATACACTTAGGGCGGGGCGGATTCAGAATGATTACAGATATTATACCAGGTGCGGCGTTTAATTCAGATCACAGAGGCTGAACTTGACATACATACTGATGGCATTCTAGAAAAATGTCCATTAAACGAAATCTAAAAGACAGGGGAACAATACTAGAGGATAATCCCTGGCAATCGTTTGCTGGGAACCTGTGGAACAATATAGTATATCACTGTCGTGTAACATATCAACCTCGCTAACAGATGCCCGATACCGCAGGCATCACATCTATCGATAACATCCAGGAGAATATGTATATATTACTTATGAGACATCAGATAGCATCTACCTCTTCCCAAACATCAAAATTTCCATTTTGTATGTTAACTTCCTGGGTAGGCGGGTCCCTAACCTTTATCGGCTGGCCGACTTCGCGGTTCATACAATATAAAATCAAACAGTTGAAAATAAAAAAAATCTATACCTGAGGAATGAAAAGCGTTAATAAGATTATAATATGTTTAATTCAAAGTTCAAGACCCTATAGACTCGTCAGTACAGTCCCCGGTGTATGAACACGCCTGTTTGTTCGGACTGTTTAAACATCATATTACATACACTGGTACTATACTTCAACAGAATGTTGGATAAAGGCTCGGGTATCGATACAATAAAGGGCTAACAGAGGTACACACAGTCGTGCACGGTTACTCTTGTTCAGACCTTGTCACGATCTCTGTGGCTCGGGTTTCTCTGGTTTGAAGGTGAAATCGGTCAAATTTTCTGTGCGCAAAAATGTCAAGTGTCCATTCATGTGATGAATGCTTCCATCAATTAGTCGAACAGCCCACATTTTAGGCCGTGAATTTAACAAATGTCAACATTTCTTTGTAAAGCAAAAACACCTTATAATGTTGAGCTTTAGTGGAAACGTAAATGACTTAGTAAAATTCTCCCGGTGGTAATTAATCAAACCGAGACATTCAAAGTTCGGACGCACGTGCGGTTGGACTAAATCCAGTGATTACCATTAGTTGGTTTGAACAGCGTTCACGCTATCACCAAATTCAACTACTAAGTTAAGTTTTTAGAATACTTCCATCAAGACAAGTCGATGGGAACTTTAATGTAAAACACTTCGTCTAATGCTGAATCGGTCTGTTCATCCGTCTTCCGTAGTTCAACGCACTCGCCATACTTTTAAATATTGCAGTTCTTTCAACTATTTACGGGGTCAGATTTTGTGTCATCAATCTTTCTTAAAAGTTAATCATACACAAAACTTAGTATCCATACCTATATTGGCCCCAAGGGTTCTGAACATCGTAAAATACAATTTCAAGAGAAAAAAATATCAAAAGAAATAAGGAAAACGGAAAAAGATAAAAACTCCGAAAATAACTTTTGAACATGCTCAGGGGAGCGACTGTTGAAAACAATAAAAGGTCAACAAAACGAACTTGTTTCAGCAAGGTAAAACAGCTAACTCCTGGTTAGAATGTATAGACATGTGCAAAAGGTATACTTAAAGTCTCCATCAAACGCTAATTGAGTTTAATGGAGTTTACCGATCACCCAATAGAGAGTTTGATAGCGCGTCGTCTGAAGGAAGTTGCACATTGTTTGATCGGTAGATCCATGAATGACTTCTTCAGATTAATAATATCGCATTGTTTCCGGAAATCACAATAAAGGTGAGTCAAGTGACGTCAAAATACATCGGTATGGCTAGGTGTTTTAAGAATGTGTATTTCCCACGGACTGTTGAAAGTCCTAATGGAGTCCACAACACCAGAGCAACAAGGGAACCAACCGAATCCTTGTGATTCAGCATTCTACTGATCTCAGATTGGCATCTAGATCTGCCAAACTCGTATCAGATTCTAATCAATTTGAGATAGCCATTTATATATGTTCTTCGCCAAGTAACTGGCATGGAATTACCGTTGTACAATTTCATCACGGTCCCGAAGACCGATAGTAGACCTCTATATATTAATTTAAACAATCGTTTTGTTCTCCTCTACCAGTTCACATGTAAAACAATATGCTCTATATACCGCTACACCACCAGGTGGCGACACCAATCTTTCGACCGATGGTCTTTATATAGTTGTTTTGCACGACGGATTACTTTCAATCAATTTCATGCCTTATTGTCCCCATTCGATCAATTATAGAATGCAACTAACAACAATACACTTTAGTGATATACACGACACGAATGCGCCCAAGTGTGATGAAGTTCACAACCCTCTGGTAAAAATGACTTTATCCCTCACAACGTAATCATCGGCTCTGTGATAAAAGCTTACTTTGAATAGAAATTAACATATATTGCCAACAGGTATGTTCGCCCAGCTAATCAATTGTGGATCAGACAATATATTACATGTTAAATGGCCTATGGTGTCCTAGGTTTCAGGTTAAAGCTATTGGGTCCGACTGGTGTTCGTTTTATAAAATGTATCCTCATTTCCAGTGGGGCACTTACAAATGTATTTTTCACTGAAGTTATACAATACATACTTCCTTCATCTTTCCTTACAACATAATAGTTCTTATAATTAGCTGGTTCAAGCCCTTTGTCTGCTTCTTTATCCACGATGATCAATCTAGGGCACATACCACATATTACCGAATAAAATATAAATTCAGAAATCACGTACCACACGCTTCAGAACAAAACATTCAGTCACTGATTAGAATCACAATCAGCTGTCAAGTCTATATGAATTTCATTTCCATTACAATGATAACAAATAAGAATAAATAGTATTTATAGGTGTTGTAGTTTTTAGGAAACGGGTTAAGTGTTCCAATGTCTCTGTTAATACATTTAAAAACGAAAATAACCGTTGTTTCATTAACGCAATGTTAATATTTCGGTATAGCGGTCAATTTGTTTCATCGCAAATTAAACGAAATTGCTTATAGAACTATACATAGTCATCATACACGTGAAAATACCGTCCATTTGTTCTCTCAACATATTTGAACTTTTTCTTTATGAAACGCCGATCGTGTCGTTATTTATAATTAATCGTTATGGTTGGCCTACTGGTTTAGACAAGTATAAATTATTTCGATCGTAGTAATTTAACTTATACATATTTAAAATGTAGTAAATCAAATGCATTCTAATTTTACATTAACGTGATATTTCTGTCTCTCCTTATTGTATGGTATGTGTCAGAAGTTTGTACGGTATATATCGATATGTACAGGTAATCGATCACACATCTACATGACGTCATCAGTCTCGTGCATATAATGTACAGCATTGCTAAATGATGAGATTTAACAACCGCAAATAAATAATAAAGTGTCTATTTAGAAATAATGAATGTCTTTGTTTATTTATGCGTTTATTTATCTTTATTTACTTGATTCATCTAAATAACTTCAGCCGAAATCAGCCGAAATATCCCGAAACTAACTAACTTCGTCAACAGCTGAAATTAAGTGAGAGGTATCCGAACATCAACTCCACAGACGGCGACAGGTTTTAATTAAAACATTGTTGGTCTGTTTCATTTTTAATAAATCTGTCTATTGTTGTTTGTCACGACTAATATAAATGTCAACAGTGTGTGCCCTGTTCTGTAATGTGCTGGCAAGTGATACAGAAAAGATATTAAGTTTATGTGACCCGGCTGTCTGTCCAAGACTCAATGACATTCCACATTACGTAAATAAGTATTCGTCATATCAAGGCATTTATGACTGACATGTGCATCATGAGCAGTAAGGTGTGGTACAGGTGTAATTTGTTACCAGTGTATAAGTAAGCTAATTAACTGCTGTTATCTACCAACCACCTGCTGCCTGATAATGTACCCTTTCAGCAAAAACCATATAAAACAGCATGATGTTTACCGGGTAGTTGGTTCGGGAAAGTAGAAAGTGTTGCTCGTGCTAATTTTGTGTAATGAACCTAAGGAGAGAGCGTGCCAACACAGAGACTGTGCAGTGAAGCACGGTTAAAGATGCTCATAAATAGTCGATCGGTCCCCAGATGAAATATGTTAGTAGTGGTGAAATCAATAACGTATTTTTTAATGACGGAAAAATTTTGACTTTGTCGTTCAATTATCCAGCGATGGTGTTTGTCGACAATATCGATTACTACATCATAACGACCGGTAATACTATCAGTGGAGGAAACTGTTATAAACACGATACATTATTTATACTCCTTGTAACGCGCCAGGTAACACAAACCGTGATTGTGACAAAGGTAGAAAATAGATACTACAGGACAGGCGAAACACAGGCCCAAGCATTGTATACTAGGGGCAAAAGTATTCCCTGGTTAATGTCTGTCAGTGTGTGTCTATTGTCTAACTAGATTTTCAGTTTGTACTGGTCATGTTTGTCACCAACACTGAAAAGAAAAGGCAGTCATTAAATAAAACCAATTTAAAAAATGATACAATTAGAAACATGCGTGCCAATTTTCGAGAATGAAGTAAATCCCCCCCCCCCCCCATTTTTTTTTTTTTAACTCGATGGGGACTGCAATTACAGTTGACTACTGACCATATCCATGTTTAGATACATTGGTGCTCTAACTCTGTTGACACCACAGAATACCCTGTGTAAACTTGACTAACAATAGTCACATTCACCATTCTGTTTGGCTACCAATATTGGCTGCAGCGACTCAATACCTACCTTCCACCGACTGGAATATCTCGTCCGGATGAAGTACCCACCAATTGTCAACTTTAGAAACATAACTTATCCTCGTGTACAATGTCAACACAAACACAATCCATATAGTGTGTTGGGGGAACAAATGTTCTATGTTTCTCCTTCCTTCGCCTGATGGTAGCGAATCATCATTAATTTTTTGCTGACATGAACTATTCCTCTGTCGGGTGCGTTTTTCTGGTATAGATAAGGGACGTTTAGCTACACTCTTCTTTGCCTGTTTTTTTCCCATTACGTTGTTTTACTCGATACCATCCATGATATCGCTCTACAATTTCCATCCGTTGTCATCGGGTGATTCGCGAAGTCTGCGGGCTGGTGTCTGATTCCCAATCTTATAAATCACCATCAGCAAAACGCTAATCAATAATGATCACGTGTCAATTTTAATTTCACAAAATAAACATACAAACGTAGAACTGTTTGTCAACTTTAAAGGCCAATCACAAATATTTGTTAACATCACAACGGACTAGTAGCGTTAGTTGTGTATCTGTTTGATCAATGGAACGCACTTTAAATACCAGTTCCACCGCAGTTGTCGCTGTGTTCCAGTCGAACACTGACGTTGTAGTAGGTAAAACGTTAATTGTCATGCTCCTGCTGTGTGTGGAACACTTGCACACTTGTGCTCTCATTTTACCTGTGACGACACTGTGATGTTCTCCCGTATCTTTATACTTCAGTTGGCGTGACACACGAACAGATAGCCGTCATGCGCCAGTGACCCTTCTAGAGTCGCACTACTGAATAGGACTTTCTGAAATTCGTTTCTGGACAGTGATCTTGGGGGTGAAATTTTCATTAGGACATTGAGATTTCGGGATAGTTACAAGTGACCAATGGGGTAATATTTTCTGACAGTGATTAAGAGGGTATAATGATTTTAAGGACCAAGATTTTTGAGACAGTACCATTTTGTAGTGATATTAGTGAGTGAGATTTTGGCGGTGGCAGTTTAGGGTAGTGATATTTTGGTCAGGGCAATGATTTTTGGAGTCGGATTTCGGGACAGTAATTTTTGGTGGTGATATTTTCTAACAGAAATGAAGGGGTTTAGGAGAGCGAGCGTTTTGGAGATATCAGAGTCGGTTATTTTGGTGTGTGATAATTAGGGGAGTCGTGGATTTTGAGAAAGTCTGTTGAAATGCTGACAGGCCGTAAAAACTTAAAGCTCGTTAAATAAATAAATAACCTTCGTTTTCTCATGTTTCAGTGTTTCTTAGATAAATTCATGATAATAAAGTTTTTTTTTCCAAAGTTTAATACACCTAAAGCTGTAGTAACGAAAATGAGTAATACGTGGTTCATTTTAAACGCCCTGCCAAGCGGCTACTACTTGTGTTGACTAATGCCGAAACACTCCAGGACATTAGCATTTTAATGAGTATTTTATTTCTAAGACGGAAATAAAATCTGGTTTACGTTAATAGAATGGGACAAGGTGTAAAAGGTTAGCTACTGTGTACGTTTACAAGTCGCTACCGTAAAGTTTGGCAGATTTTAAACATTACATAACTGTTCCGACATTATGACCATCATTCAGCTCAAAATTCATCCCATAGGCATACATACAAGAATGAAATGACGTGTCGCCAATTACGCAGCCTATGATTGTAAATGTCTTGTGGTCCTTTAATTATGTCACACAACAAAGCTGGTCAAATTAAGTTACAGATTATATATATATGATTTTTGACATCAGAGGATCTTGTGTAATGATCGAAGTAAGAGTTTAACTATATGATTTGTTATGAGCCTGAAGGTGTCGGATTAAACAGGCGACACTGTAGCTACACTTGGCTGTATATGGCGTCCAGGGAGGTATATTTGTAATATATAGGTTGCTGGTCATTCTCAGTAAGGACCCTCGTCACGACTAGCAGGATTATAATACTTGACCTATTTAAGAGGACTCGGTTCTGAAATAGATCACGAGGTGATAAAAGGTCACGTGTCACGTGAATTCCAATACACCCATTGTAATTTAGGAATGATTGACACTTAAGAATAAAAAATAAAAATCACCAGTACTGATCTAAACAAATTGTAAATATGATATTGAATTCAAGTTCAAGACAAACATACGGCATTAAAAAATGATGTCAGTAACGTTACACGGAATCCTACTCTGATGAAGTGAGTGTAAATATGTATTACACGACTATATCTGACTAAAATCGTACAAGTAGTCTTCAGAGAAAGGTTGATGGAAATTAAAAATTCATTATACGGCCCAGGTTTGGACGCGCTCCGTCAGTCATTCCGGGGTCCTGTGGGGTCCGTTGTATGTATTATGATCCCACTGTAGTAGTAATCTTAATCAATAAGCTATTTAGTAGTTTTCAAACAATTCGATAGCTAAATGAACTTATCTATGTGGCTGAAACCTACTTAAAATCCCTCCAACAAACAATTACAGTCTTCACTTGAATATTAAGTTAAGAAAATATCTTCTACAATGAATTAACTTTTCATTTCACTCCAGTTTGACTCCAGATTTTCTAAGAGACTACATAAAATCTTATGTTATGCATATCATCATACATATGTAACTGATCTTTATCAAATCATCTTCTGACGATAACGAGGTTTAATGTAACATCAATGGTGAGAACATCTGCATGGAAAAGCCAACTTCATGGTTCCATGGGAGGTAACTCGAAAAAGAACACCATGTAGAGGACATGATTGGACGAATTCTCATTAGGACAGGATAGAACGTCGATGTGCTATCTAATGGAGTCACTTCGGAAAGTAAAGAGATTTTTAGAGGCATGTTTAATCAAAACCTACAGATTTGTTTTATCAAAGTTGTAAATTATATGGTTTCAATCCCACAGGGACCTTTAGGGTGGGGCCAAAAAGGGGTGAAAATACCCATATAAGGTAGAACCAAATATTCTTAATTGACGGCTTTAAGGTGCTTCACCAAACTTGTAAATTGCTATTCATGATGGTATTGATGAATGGAAGAGTTTATAAAAAATGATATTTTTGAGTGCATTACGTTCAATTTAAAGCTTGTTAGAAGCTTGAGCATGGGATGATAGTTAATCTTATGCATAGTTTACATTTGCGTTACATGTACAATATTTTATTGACAATATTATATTTGAGATATATTACAAGAAGTATACCAGCATTGTAACTCATGTGGCTGTTAAGGCCCCGTGGGCCTCTTGCCATACATCTAAATTAGTCTCTAGAGAATTCATTATATAGATAGATGCATGTCGTTTAAAGCCTTGAAGCTGTGTGAATGAGACACCGTTTTACTCTATACTACATCTCAGTGAAACCACTGGAATGATTATGTTTAAATCACCATGGTAACTTGATGGTATTATTATAACTATTAGACGGTGCTATCAATATATGGTCACCTATTATAGCAGTTTCAGTTTTGTATCAGATGCTGATTGGTCTATATCCGATCACGTGTTATTCAGTTAACATCGAATTGCACTCTGCGATGCTCGTGCGAGTGTTCTGTAACATCGCGTAATTTCGGCCAATTAGATTCGTTCCGTGGTCAAATTGCGTCATAGTGCAATATGATCTTTTCCGTGATCTCACCGAGTCACTGGAAATGTGACATCGCCGAAGTATTTCATTTATTGCGACGGTATTATCTAATAACTTAGTGATATATTGAATTTGTGATATCACAAAGTAAAGCTGAACAGCGGATATCACCCTAATGACAACAACTGCAAAACAAGCTACAATTTCATATCAGTTACTTTGTTGAACGGAATGGAAGTGCAGAAGGAAGGTCTTAATTTGGGAAGAAACCAGAGTTCGCGGGGGAAACCCAGGTTACCTCTTACCTATTCACGTTCGTTCCGGTAATCGAGCCCCGAACGCGTATGGGAAAGGCAAGTGTGCTATCGCTGTGTCATCCGACCGCTATAACGAATTAGGGATATCACAAATTCAAACTTCATAATAGATAGGTGGTATCAGCGCAATAATTCAGTAATGTCACCTGATCTTTTAAATGAAATCATTTATGTGGAATACGTTAAGTGAAATGGCGCCCCATATCTATGCGGATGATCTCATCTAGAAACTTTCGAGGGAAACCTCGGAGTCCACTGAGGGTCTACTCGTGGGTTGATGCTTGAAATGGTGGACAAGAACGACAAATGGTCAATATGGCCAAAGGTAAGAGGGAGCTGTCTTGTGTACGTGTAAAAAGTCAGACTCCACCGAGCCTGGACCTGGGTGATAGAGGTAATATACCATGGATGACAGGGTGATACGAGTAATAATATAGAAGAATGCATGTTGTTATCATGTTGTGTAACAACGTTTAGATGGCATTTCTGTTCAGGAGAATCACCTTGAAGCAGTTCCAAATCAGTACTAAAGATCAACTTGCAAGGTAATAAATTTCATTTCATGAAAGTAAAACTCCCTTTTAAAAAAAATAAATACATATGCAATATTTCTAAGCATTCATATTAAGCTAAGTATTGATACTACGTAATAGTAATTATTTTCCAATATATCTTAAACGTATCAAAACCAATGTTGCATATTTATTCAAATGTCCGTGGGGGAGGGGAACCCGGCTTGTATGAATGGGGCCTGAGGAGTAGATCCCAAAATGGATACTTCGAAAATCCTTTAAAATTCTTCCTTTGCGGGTTTTGTTCAAATTTGGTCTGAAGCATCATTAGGTTGTGTGCGCGAGTTTAATTTTGTATAAACGGTCTGAACCACCCCCCCCCCCCCCCCCCCCCCCCGCCTCGTGTAGCAGAGGGGCAGGGAATAATAGGGAAACAGTGGAATAGTTTTGAAATGCTTCCGTTGAGAAGTATTTATAAAAAGATTTGTTCAGAAGCATCATAGCGTTAAAGGAACTTAAGAATTTCCTTACTCGTCTGTAAAAATGACAGATATTTGTTTAAACTTTGTTAGAAACACCCTTTGATTCTGTCAGAGACGTGACCTAAACGGCAGATTGATGTAATCTTTGAAATACATCTTTTTAGCATTTTGATCAAATTTCGTTGCAAATATCCTTTGGTCAAAGAGACACAATTTTACGTAAATCACGCGTCTGTAAGAGTCCAACGTGGAAAATAGAAGTGAGAGTTAAAAAATCTTTCACTGCTTAGATGAAGTTATTTGACAAATTTTAGTTTAAATCTTTAAAATTCCTTTTCTTGTGTGAAAAATATAACTATATAATTGTAAATAAAAATGTCTTGAGTTGAAAGATGAAATATACAGGTGAGCGATGTATGCCCTAAAAACCTCTTATTTAGGATTGCTACCAATCTTGTTTGAGTTTGATTTCAACATATTTTGATTGTATCAAATCAATACAATGGAGATCGGGGACAAGTTTTCCAGCTTCCAAAAATAATATACAACACATTAATGTTTACACAAGATGACATAAATCTGTAAATCAAATAAAGGATTTTCATGGGAAAATAGGTATGGTACAGATGGGGTGCAAAGAGATAAAAAAAAAAAACATATATGGAGTGGAAAGTGCAGGTCTCCTCATGTTCACTTTTGAAAAGAATCAAAACTTTAAATAGTTTAATAAATAATGTCATAAGTTGAGTGAGTGAATCTTTCTCGGCCTACCAGGCTTAATATGCCGGTATCTGTGTTTGACTCGTTCGACTTTTCACAGTTCATAATTCTTTACTTGAGTTGCTTTCCATCAGATGAGTCATCCCTTTCTTTCTGGTATTTCCGCTTCTAATCTTCCCAACTTGTTTTCTTGCACTAAACTTCTGAATGAAAAGTATAGGAAGATGGAGACGACACTCGACTTATCTGTTATATCAGATATATATCAGATCAATCATTAAAAAATAATCATTTTTGGTCGATGTATGTGATTTTTTTTATTTACTTAAACCACTATTGGAATGGTATTGGTATAACTTTAATCTTATTTGTAAGTTTCTAAGTATTTTTTCATCAAAGGAAGTATGTTTCGTATGTAAACCTCAAGGTACCAAGTCGGTAAACATAACAGAATGGCACGAAAGTTATGATATGGGCGTACCTAACCATGATACCGTAATGACGTCGGTGTCCATATTGTCGTTTATAGACTAGTACTGTAGAAATATATGATCACCACGGGACGTTAAGTAATAAGTTGCCAATCTGAACATCAAAAATCATTTTCTTATTCAAAATCAACGAAATAGTGCGATTTATTTGAAAAGGCATTTGTACAAAGAAAGCAAGAGGATAATAAGAAACTGTTTACCAGAAGGGAAAATCACAGGAATGTCACGTTCTACAAAGAGAACCGAGGTAATGACAACACCGGAGCTGAGTATTTATGGCGGAAGTGATTGTTATGCTATCATGTGTAATTTTGGTGATTAAAGATGGTATCGTTTAATAAATATATCGTTATACAGTTTTCGTGACGATTATCATTATGTTCAGATATTTGTGTGAATATATAGTTGCATACGTTAATCAACTTGCATACATCTATCTGAAGTCCTTAGTAGGTGACGTCAGTAACGACCAGATTGGATCAGCAAAATAATTTGAAAAATGTAAAAAAAATGTATTATTGATTATCAGGGGGAAATATGCAAATTAATTGCAGACACATTATCTGAGCTCAATATACATAATAATAAGCGTCGTTTCATATTTTCAACTAGAAACGGTGGCTCAAGGGATATAACTCTTATATATTTTTATTAATTATTAATTTATTTTTGATCCGGTCTATTATTTAAATGCTGGAAACAAAACAGTTTGTGGATGAAGGATATAAGATTTTTTTTAAAAAAAAGTTTGCCGTGCAATACAAATTTCGAATATTAAATCATCCATTACGCAAGCTCGAGATATTTTGAAAGCAGAGAATTTTTGGCCAAAATCGTTGCCTACCTATGATTTGGAAAATAAAAGATAAGGATACAGCCTAGAAAACAACATTGAAAGAAAACGTAAATGGAAAAATAAATATCAGAGCAAGATGGATTAGGGTTGAAGAAATTGATTTGCTCCTCTCTGTCTTTATTTTGTAACTTCACATTGAATCCTATTCAAATTGTCGATATTGTATATACTATAAGATGTCATGCTCATCCTACGATCGATTTTTTTTCTAAATGTGAATTTCATTTAAAATTTCGACACCTAATGAAACAAAATGTTGCTCATCGAACGCACCGACAAAATCGTGAACGACCTTCACCTTCACGACTTCCGTTTATGCGAAATACGCATGCGTATGTTGTACTTTCCCGGATCAACGCATGCGCATATGTAATGGCCGACATTTTGCGCCAACTTTCTGCTTTCTGAAGAAGAGATATTCAAGAATTTCTATTTTATTCCACGAAAAACTGGTTTGATGCAATTTTATTGATAAAGAGTGTTTAGAAAATATATTTTTCAACATGAATATGTATATTATATAGAGATTTTTAATGAATATAAGCCAAAAATTGAGTGCAATTTAGCCATATTCTCTCGGTCGCCGAGAAAAGAAGAATGGTTTTCGAGTAAAATATTCGGTCTTCTGGAACATCTTGCAAACAGCTGATATAATCGACACTTCATCATGACTACGGTCGAATATGACTTAGATACATCAGGCGGATTGATGGAGGTGAGTTGTTTGATATGATGATGAGCATTTCGGCGACAATTTGTTATTGTAGCATTGTCGATTTCTGAGAGCAAGACGATAATTGAGAAAAACTGTCATGGCTGCTGTTTAGCCGAAGTCTAAACATAGTAACGCAGTTTTGGTATTTTATTCATGTTTTTAAAGTATGGAACTACAATGGTAGTGTCTTCAGAGCTGTCAAACACGTATAATTTGGTAATTTGAAGGGACAGGAACAGAGTTTAATTGTAGGGACTTTTTTTTGTCGTAAATGCTGGTCTCCCTCTGCGAAAAGTTTAATTTAGCTGCACATAATTACATACAGAATATAGATATATGCCACGTCCTTTTTGGTTATACTTGTTAGCTAAAACAAAAAAGAAAATCCTGTTTCATGTCTGCATAGTCATACACACCTTATAGATATGTAGTTGGATATATGATATAGCCCATTTTAGACTTCATAATTTATGTTGTAGCAAATCCAAAAACTGGTGTCTCCGCCAGTCAGTGAAGAAGCTCTCCGAAGACAAAAACGTCGAGATCGTGAATATAGACGACCTGGACGGGCTGTCAACCATGACTGCTGTGACAGCTGCAAGGAAGGTGGAGACTTGCTGTGTTGTGACCGTTGCCCAGCTGCTTTTCATCTTCAGTGCCAGTAAGGACAAATATTCAATTATCTGGGTGTGAATTATTGGTTTGTTTACCTGAAATATCCTAGCACTTTCCAGATATTTCACTCTTCAAGATACACAATCATTACTATCCGACCAACATAATCTGATGGCTGGTTTTTTTAACCTGCAAGTTTACAGTCCAGAATCATAAAGTAAATGATGATATCCTTCAGTTTTTCAAAATTTTAATAATAAATCAGACTTCGCACTGTTGCATCTCCATGAAACATAAGAAAGCATCAACAGCATAAACAAGGAGCTGCAAAGCATGGCATCATCTCCTGCATCCAATTGTTGGTATGAATGCCCGAACAGACATGTTTCTGTGCCTTATATTATAGTACACTGATATTTTGATTCTCTTTGTCAGTTTAGCTCAGCTGAACAGTTTTCAAACTGAAGCAGGATTAAGATTTGCACAGAACAAATTTTGTATTTCCAACTTTGTTTCCATGGAAACAGAAAAATGATCAGGAATGAGATGACATGTTATTGTTAATTAGAGATAGTAGAACAGTCGTCAAGTTGATACCCTGAAAAAATACTTTTATTAACACACACCTTTTGTGGGGTACCCAAATTTTAATACCTGACACAGACCCAGGTACCCAACCTTTTATCTGACATATAAAATGAAATGTAACATAAACTTGTTGAAAAAGGGCTTGTAACTTCAGGGGACACGTTAGAATCGACCATAAGCATTGTATGAACACAATTGTTTTGTAATTAAACGATCTTGAGACAGATTACATTGGATCAAAAGTTGGCAAAACATGCCTGTCAAGCTTACTGCAAATATGGCAGGATGGTATTACTTGCACATGATCAACAGGAAGTAAAGTGAGATGGAGACATCAATGTATTTTACAAAGTTATTGTGCTCGACAAGTCATCATAGGAACAGCAAAAGTTTCGACCCAGAATAAGACACACTAAAATATATGGATAAAAATGTTGTTTAACTCAAACAAGAAGTTCAGGAATCCTTGTGTGTTATCAATGGCTACAGGGTAAAGTACATTACACAAGTCTGTGGTAAATACACACGTTTTATGGTTCCCAAAATGAAATGCAGTTGTGAGAAAGTACAGTAATGTTGAATGTGGAAATGTAACAAACAAAAGTGTCATCCTCAGTGAATGAAAACAACAAATGAGTGAGATATTGTATTACTTTAATAATCTGAAATGTAAACACAGATGGAAGACAGAATGTTGCCTATTTTGGAATTGGCCCTTTGCTTTAAAACATGGGGAGGGGAGTGCGACAAAGATCTTGAATTGGGAAAAAAACCAAACAAAATACAATGACATCCAAATCGGACCATGATCTGCGTATTACAAGAGATGTTTTAAAAAAATTTTTGGGAATTTTGAAGCTGTGCTTGGGATAAATATAACAGTCATTTGTTTTGGAATGGGGCCTACATTTGGCCCTAAATTCTACTGAAAAATGGCCTGGCACCTAAAGATTACAACATGGTAACAAGCAAGTTCATTACAGATATAAATTTGGTAAATGTTTGTGTGATCTTATCAACCAGATCATTAAATGTCTGTGTTAATTATAAATCTGATCCCAAGATACAACTTCATGTGCTCACTGATGTGTAAGTAATCAATCATTTAAAGTCATAACCTTGTGTTTTTGGTTGCATGTAAAAGTTATATGTATTCATGCTTTATTATGACAATGAACAGTATTTATTTGTATTGATATTTATTTATGTTACATTGATTTTTTTTCCTGTCATCATCAAGGGTGTAAAAAAATCTAAAATCACTGGCCCACTCAAGTGCTGAATTGCAAATTTTCCTTCTTGTCAAGATGATCCAGTTAACATTTTCAAGATGAAAAATCCATATTGAAACAAATTAAGACACAGTTTGAAATAATTCTTGCAGATTCGAAAGATTCATTAATTGGTTTTATTATTTAAACTGAAAGCTAAATTTAGTCAAACTAATTTTCTTTGCAATATTTAAAACTGGATTACCGGTAAATATTTTTTACGTGCTGTCAACTTGGTAGATTGAAAAAATTGAGAGGCACTTGGTTCTGTCAGCTACAAAGCAGTCAATTCATCTCGTAATAAACAACAATAAAAACCCAGGAGAAAAGGATATAGTCTTTATTGATTTGTAAAAAGTATCCTAACATAGCAGATAACCATCGAAATTGATTACAATTAAGTAATAGATCATTTCTGTACAGTAGTAAGTATGAAAAAGTAGACATAAGTAACGGTTGCCACGAGAAGTCATCTATGCTAGTTCAATGAAAATAGTTTTGAAAAATATTCAAAATTTTTATGAAATAAACTTACTTAAATTAGAAAAGTTTATAATAGGTAAAGTGATTTTAACTTCAACAAGTGAATTTACAACAATTTTTTGGCGATATGATGGTTACTAGCATCTCGGCGTGCTATATGACTGCGCATGATTTAGGCATCTCTGGTCCTGTGAGAGGTGGGTATATCTTACTGTGGGGGCTTTTTGCATCGATAGTTATTCACCAATGAATGACCTGGTATTGAATTCTGCATGTCTTGTATTGATCACTTTAGGTTTTTTGGTTTATATGGCATTTCCGCTTTTAAATATGGTAGGTAGACTGACTGAGTAAGGTATAGAAGTACAAATCTATTTTTAGAAAATCTGTTTTAGACATAGCCAATCAAAATCCGACATATTTTTGCATCCTGATTTCTAAAAGTAGATACTCGAATTTCCTATCCCATAATATTACATTTCAAACATGGCCAGTTGGCAGCACAGTAAACAACCTACATGCATTACGGTCTACAGAATGAAGAGAAAACACCCAACAACAATAACTATGTAAATATGTAGAATCATAAATGATTCAGTGTTTTTATTGCACTAGCCGGTGCTAGCTGACAAATATTTTCCACTAACCCAGCCTTAAAATCTTCTAGCCCTAGGTGTCGGGATAGCAGATTTTTTCACCCTTACATCAATGCCCTAGAAATCAACAGTAGCATCATAGTCCGTCACTTCCTTGTTGGTGTAAACAACCAGAATTAAACAGCCGATTTCCTAGCATTTGATTATTTAAGCAAATGAATTTGCTGTGAAATTTTAAGATAAATCTGATTCTATTTTGATACTCACTATTATTTTTTATGTACACATTTCATCAGTCAAATTTACGTACAAAACAAGTCTTTCATGGCATCTATAGTGTCACATAATTGAACTTGAAATTTTGATATGTATTAAGTCATAATCTGTACAGATAGATTTAAAATTGATTTTGGATAATAAAATATATCAGTAATCAATTTTTGTAAAGTTAGTGGTATGTCATTTTCAATTGTTTGGTCAACAACCCAAGAGTAAGTGATATTTAACAGTGTCCAAGTTTTTATGATGCACTCAGGTTCCAATGTTTTCTGAAGTATGCTAGAGATGAAGGGAATGTAAGAAATAAAGTTAGTGTTCGTCCATTTTCTAACAGGTTGAAGTGTAACTGCTGAAGTGTGTTGGGGTTGAATTGTAATCACTGGTGTGTTAGGGGTGAAGTGTAATTACTGAAGGCTGTCTGGAATGAAATGTCCTAATAATATTTTACCCTATTGCTCATGGTTTAAATGAAATTGCATAAGTAGATTGGTCACTTGCTTGATAGGACAATGTCTCTGGGTTAAAATGTGATTTGGGTAGTGTACTGTGTAGTGATGTGTCGATGATCCAATATTGTCAATTGGCAGTGTGTAAAACAATTGATTCTGATGATCGATTGTGTTGCTCTATATTGGTAAAATTTAAGAAATATCTATTCTTTTCACCTGCTGACCGGTTTTGTTGTTGATGTGTATAAAGGGAGATCACTTGCTATTTAAGACAAGGATGCTGAAATTGGTTGGCAAAATCACATTGGAAGGATCAACCGGTTCCAACCAATTCATCAATTATGTCGACAACCTATGTCCCACCACTAGTATTGTGTACCAAGATTGAAAAAAAAGTTATGACTGTATCCAGGTTGAAATGTTATTTGGAACATGCCATGGTTTGAATGTAAATAACACATTGTGCAAAGGTTAAAAACTTGATTTTGTCACAACAGCTTTAAAAACCAGCAGGGAAAATACTGACATGTTTACTTGATCAAGTAAAATTGTAATTTGTTTTAAGGAAATGAATGTGAAGTCAAGTAAGTCTTGATTGAAATGTTGTTATATCAATACCATGTACATGTCAGGATTCAAATGTAGTGATGACATCAGATAAAAATGCGGTTAAGATAGTTTGATGGAGATCAAATACTATGAAGAGTCTCAGGATTTGATGAGGATGAAACCTATTCTGAAATAATCAATATTAATCAAATCCACTGAAATTGTTTAAAATCTTGTGATTGAATGTCTTGGGTTTTATGTTGAATGTAATGACAAGGTGAATACCCATCAGTATTGGGATTTCTGTATTTTCAACATTGGTGTTTGTGAAGGTTGATATGAGTTCTAAAACTTTTGTGTATTGATTTTGAAGAACAGCGTTAAAGGTTGCAGTAACTGAACTTTGAAATACAGGGTTAAAGGTTGCAGTTACCTATTTTTGAAATACAGGGTTAAAGGTTGCAGTAACCTAACTTTGAAATACAGGGTTAAAGGTTGCAGTTACCTAACTTTGAAATACAGGGTTAAAGGTTTCAGTTACCTAACTTTGAAGTACAGGGTTAAAGGTTGCAGTTACCTAACTTTGAACTTCAGGGTTAAAGGTTGCAGTTACCTAACTTTGAAATACAGGGTTAAAGGTTGCAGTTACCTAACTTTTAAATACAGGGTTAAAGGTTGCAGTTACATATCTTTGAAATGCAGGGTTATAGGTTGTAGTTATGGAACGTGGATACAATGCATTGTAATCAGGGAGATGTTGCTTTCTATTAATGTCATTCAAATGGTCAAAGCTATATGACATGGCCATTAATATTAAAGGTAGTGATTATTCTGTGTACATAGATGTTTGAAGATTTCTAATACTCAAGGTGTACATTGCATGTAGGGCTGACCTGCAATACTTGTATGGTATATGTTTCATCTGTCATTCAGGCACTGTTATTAGCTTTTTACCATGTAATTACAATAAAAGAAAACAAATTTCAGTCTAGGTCTCATTGTCTACATACATCAATGAAGAAAGAGATGGTAAGATATCTGTCATGACTTGCGTTACATGGCCATATTTAACGGTTGAACAAGAACTTTGGTAAACAGAGGTCAGTTACCATGATGTGCATGTAGTAGGTACGGCAGTGTTACACTCAATTAGAATAGGAGGGAAACACTTGGCATGCTTCCAGTTATTGATATGCATCATTTTGTGAAGGAACTCTCAAGACTGGTCTGTTATCTGAGGCTGGTGATGAATGTGTATATCATCAATGTCACTAGTGCCCTACATTTTATTAGCTGTCTGTTGTCACTTTACCCTACAACAGCTGTAGACATGTATGTTGTCACTATACACTACAACAGCTGTAGACAGGTCTGTTGTCACTTTATCCATACAACAGCTTTAGACTTGTCTGTTGTCACTTTACCTTAAAATAGCTGTAGACTTGTCTGTTGTCACTTTACCTTAAAATAGCTGTAGACTTGACTGTTGTCACTTTATCCATACAACAGCTGTAGACAGGTCTGTTGTCACATTATCCATCAACAGCTGAAGACTTGTCTGTTGTCACTTTATCCATACAACAGCTGTAGACATGGCTGTTGTCACTGTACCCTACAACAGCTGTAGACTTGTCTGTTGTCACTTTACCCATACAACAGCTGTAGACTTGTCTGTTGTCACTTTACCCATACAACAGCTGTAGACAGGTCTGTTGTCACTTCACCCATACAACAGCTATAGTCTTGTCTGTTGTAATTTTACCCTACAACAGCTGTAGACTTGTCTATTGTCACTTTACCCATACAACAGCTGTAGTCTTGTCTGTTGTAATTTTACCCTACAACAGCTGTAGACTTGTCTGTTGTCACTTTACCTTAGAACAGCTGTAGACTTGTCTGTTGTCATTTTACCCTTAAAAAGCTGTAGACATGTATGTTGTCACTGTTCTATATCTGTACTGTAACTAGTCCCCTATAACATTTGTATATCTGTACTGTAACATAGTCTCCTATAACAGTTGTATATCTGTACTGTAACTAGTCTCCTATAAAAGTTGTATATCTGTACTGTAACTAGTCTCCTATTACAGTTGTATATCTGTACTGTAACTAGTCTCCTATAACAGTTGTATATCTGTACTGTAACTAGTCTCCTATAACAGTTGTATATCTGTACTGTAACTAGTCTCCTATAACAGTTGTATATCTGTACTGTAACTAGTCTCCTATAACAGTTGTATATCTGTACTGTAACTAGTCTCCTATAACAGTTGTATATCTGTACTGTAACAGTTGTATATCTGTACTGTAACTAGTCTCCTATAACAGTTGTATATCTGTACTGTAACTAGTCTCCTATAACAGTTTTATATCTGTACTGTAACTAGTCTCCTATAACAGTTGTATATCTGTACTGTAACTAGTCCCCTATAACAGTTGTATATCTGTACTGTAACTAGTCTCCTATAACAGTTGTATATCTGTACTGTAACTAATCCCCTATAAAAGTTGTATATCTGTACTGTAACTAGTCTCCTATAACAGTTGTATATCTGTACTGTAACTAGTCTCCTATAACAGTTGTATATTTGTACTGTAACTAGTCCCCTATAACAGTTGTATATATGTACTGTAACTAGTCTCCTATAACAGTTGTATATTTGTACTGTAACTAGTCCCCTATAACAGTTGTGTATATGTACTGTAACTATTTAAACATGTGAGGGGGTCAAACATTGGGTAGGCACATTTGGTGTCCACCAGATAACATGAGTAGTTTTAGATGGATCAATTTCATACATAATAGGGAGATTTATTATTTAATCCATGGAGTTAATGCCCCTTATTCAATTACCAGTGTTCGTTTGAAATTGCAAATAGTCTTTAAAGGATCAACTTCAAATTTCATAGGAAGGTTCATTACCATGATAGCTTGGACAGGTTTCATGACTGAAATGAATAATGGCCCTTTATTCAATTATCAAATCTTTGTCTGTTCTATAATTTTGGTCACGGCAACATTCTGTCTGTAATTTAGAGAGTTATGGCCCTTTATTTCGATTACTTAAACAGAGTCTGCTTTATATCTCTAGTAGTTTCCAATTGATACACTTAAGATTTAAGATGGAGGCTCGTTACCACCATAGCTCAGACAGGTTCGATAACCAAAATTATATGCCTGTTATTTATCAAGTAATGGTGGCCTTTGTAAAAATTATATAACAATAACTTGAGTTTTTTTTCCATGGATCATTCAGATGCTCAGCAGTTTACTCCGGTTGCCTTCACCATTACACAGCAGGCACTATCTGTTAATGTGAATGAAGTGTTGATCGCACATTAACCATCACTTTCTTTCCCTTTCCTGTCGCAAAGTACTCATTTGAACCATGACGGCGTATCATGTAATGCCTCACAAAGCAATTGTTACTATATTTAGCTATAGATTGTCTGATGTTGTAATTCTTTATGATTTATAATATAACTATAAATATATATCACCAATTTATCTACATTTTCCCTCCCTGTGACATTTAGGAACATGTAGATAACACTGATTATAGTGAATATTATACAAAGTGTTAGAGTTATCCAGTATGTTGTGTAGTCTACTTCACACAAGATCATTGGATTACCCGTAGATTGTGTACTTCATCCAAAAAGGATTTAATTGAAAGCTTTACCAGGAGCATAGATTCCTAATTACATACAAACAGAAGTATTGATCCTTAATCACAATGAGACAGTATGATATTGTTTGTATGGTGAAGCTCATCACTCTGGCTAGTTACTCTGTCCTTACCATCGACTGTTAATTCTAGACAATTGACATTGAATACTGTGTATGTTTTGACACTGGAGAGATTTACATGACTTTCAGGATATTGGAACAGGTCATAACCTGTTCATCTTAAGTGTGTTAAGCCATGGCAGAGCATATATTGATTAGTGGTAATTAGCTTGTTTGATATATCTGTTTTTTATTAAGTAAATTCCATATCATCTGATCATCAATGGTTTTCAAGAAAACATCAATATACAGAAATGATGTTTAAAACCAGTATACAACAAATCAATGGATGGTTGGTAAAATATACATACAACATATTTTAGGTCAGATGAGACAACGTCTTATGTAATTTATTTCAGTTGTTTTGTGGTCAGCTGTATTACATTCTGTATTTTTGAAAAATTGATAATTTCAACTTCTCATTAAAAAAAAATTCTTTTGATGAAGTCCTGAAATTTACTTGACTTTGGAATCCAAGATTTGAAAAGTAGAATTCTGAAATCAGAATGGAAAAAAATAATAGCATTTTTTATTATTTTTATGTCTAGTGAACTGGTTTAAAATTTAGCAGTCATACACCTTATGATAATTGTAATTTCCAGTCAAAATCTACCAATGTGTTATCACACAAAGATATGATGATTAGTCTAAACAACACCTGTGTGTATATGTCACAGACGTGAAACAACTTCAGGAATATACTGGAGACTGTGTAGTGTTAATTATGGTGACAGCATTGCTGTAATTACATGTATACTTAGTTATAATTCATCAACTCTTGACAAAATATTTCCTGTCATGGTGAATTCTAATTCTCATGTAATACACATTCTTGTTTGGGGTTGTCATTATAATCAAGGACTAAGTGACCACAGAAATATTACTTTATAAAGGAGGTTTGTTTTGTATTAAATTCTTTTATCACCTGCTTCCTTTGTAACAGAAAAAAAGTACATGAATATTCTTGCGTTTTCAGTGATCCCCCCTTAGAGGAAGATGATATTCCACCTGGAGAATGGATTTGTCATCGATGTCGGGTCGCTCCTGTTGTAGATGTAAGTGACATGGATGTTGCATAACTCCTGTGGTAAATTCTGAAAGGTTTAACTGTTATTGTCGCTTGAATTGAAGATGTTAGTAATCTCCTTTTGTAGAAGTAAGCTGATAAATATTTTCGCATTAACTTGCAATGACAGTTGGTCCTGAATAATAGATCTGATGAAATTCAAACAAACAGTTATGTGATTAATATGTATGGTGAATATAATGATTTTTAAACTATACATAAATAAATAGATTGAATGTTGTTTGATTCATGTCATGGAAATTCACTTACTGATTCACCACAAGTAGATTCTTTAGAGTAAGTTTTCAGTCTAGTTTAATATCAAAATTAAATGAGATGAATATTATCAAAAACCAAAATAGTTTGAATTACATGTGTAGTGAAAATGTATTAGAATGGTAATCTACATATAGTACTTTTACTCTTCCTTTAGATATAAATGTCCTCAAATTTCCTTAAATTTTCTTTGATTTGAACTGTTCTCCTTAGTCAAAGGATGATGATACAGCCTCAACAAAGAGCAGTAGTAGCAGCACTAATGGCCGTGTTGGGCCAGGCCGACCTCCAAAAGGGCAGACCTTACCGATGGCACCTACACTGCCCCCATTTGAGGAGATGGACTTTGACAAGGATGATCTTCAGAACCCTCTTAGGACCTTGGCAAAGGCAGCTAAACTAATGAATCCTGTACAATTTGAACTTCCCAAAGATATAGCATGTACAACATCATTACCAGGTTTGTTACTGCTGAAGGAAAGACTTCAGTTGTAAAGGAAGTCATTCACTTATTTTGTCACCCAATGATAATGTGAGTTCCTTTAATAATTATTGTATGTCATTCATTGTCCAGCTGTAAGACATTGAACACATGATAGGAAGTTTGGTTGTTATTGTATATAGCTATTATATCCTGTGTGCTGTTGTCTTTAAACTGAAAATATGTACAGATAGGAGATGCAATACTGAAAGTTAAGTTGCTGCATCATAAAAATGTTATTTCCTTGTTTTCTAGGTTCAAGTAAACGGAAATGGTGGGGTCGAGATCGAAGTTCACAGAAGAAACTCGCTCATGAGTTGGACAATGGCATGGTACCACTCCCTGCCAAGGTCTGCTTCTACTGTAGCAGGTATGTGATAGGTGTTAATAATACACCCATGTAGGGCCCTGGAGGAAATTTGGGAAGACTAATCACCACAGGGATTAGTTATCAATTCAGTTCATTCATATCATTATACATACAGTCCAGAAAGGTAAATTATTCATACATACATGTGATCAGTTAAAATCAAATGTCTTCATCTTGGTATAGTTTAAACTTTTATTGTTAAATAATTTTAAGCTTTAGTGTCATCTCTATCATGTAATATCTTTATTTGTATTGTTATTGTAAATCTTCATATTTACAGGAGTTGTAGAGTGGGTCCGCTGTTACAGTGCGATTTTTGTCCGCTTGTGTATCACATGGACTGTCTCAATCCTCCTCTCACTTCCCTGCCCACAGGACGATGGATGTGTTCAAACCACCCAGAACACGTCTCAGTAAGTATAATTTTTCTGTCGAACACAAACAGTGTATCAATCATACATCAGAGCTATAACCTATGGGATATCTAGGGTCGGACTCTTTACATCATAACAGATTAACCAAATCTCTTTGTAGTTTGTAGTTAAAGATTTTAAATAGTGAAGAAAATAGAATTAATAAAAAATGAAACTTTGCAATCAAGATCATAACATATAAAGGGAGTAAAGATTGATGATAATTGTCACCCTGGGAGTTAAATATTGGTATATTTTGGGGTAGGGGTACCCTGGGAGTTAAATATTGGTATATTTTGGGGTAGGGGTACCCTGGGAGAATGATGATAATTGTCACCCTGGGAGTTAAATATTGGTATATTTTGGGGTAGGGGTACCCTGGGAGTTAAATATTGGTATGATAAGTTAAATATTGGTATATTTTGTCACCCTGGGAGTTAAATATTGGTATATTTTGGGGTAGGGGTACCCTGGGAGAATGATGATAATTGTCACCCTGGGAGTTAAATATTGGTATATTTTGGGGTAGGGGTACCCTGGGAGTTAAATATTGGTATATTTTGGGGTAGGGGTACCCTGGGAGTTAAATATTGGTATATTTTGGGGTAGGGGTACCCTGGGAGTTAAATATTGGTATGATATTTTGGTTACCTGAGGAGATTGATGATAATTGTCTTTCTAGTACATTGTTTGATCCTCTTAACTTTTCAGGACCAGAAGTTATTACAGACCGTCAGTTTATCAGAAAGAGTGAAATTGTGGGACTCATTTAGTGGTCATATCAATCAGCATAGTATCAAAGTTAATTTCCTCAATAAGATTCATAGACAAAGTCCACCATTCAGGATAAAGATACGACACCCTCGTCGCAAGTCTATATCGGTAAGTATTCCACAAGGAATGTCTCAGTAACAAATCTATCATGGATAGTTTTCTAAAAGTTTTATCAAGGGAACAAATTTTATCTCTACAAGTATTTCACAAGGAAAATTTTGATATTCCTCGATGATTATATCATATCAATCCCAGTAAGTATTCCACAGGGAAAATCTTGGTTGAAATATCTGTTTAAAAAATCTGGATGACATATTTTCAGATTGATTCTATAAAGAAGTATTGTGTAAAAAAGTTGATATGATGTAAAATGACAGTTCATTGTTACCTGAAATGGTCAGTGTAGAAAAATGAAATATCAAATTATGTGGAAATAGCCAGTATTTTATCATCTCAAATTTTACAGTAGTATGTGCCTGCACAAACTGAAAAAATAATCGTCCTGATATTTTTCATATTGTGCAAAAATCATTAAAAAAACCCACTTCGTTTTGTATGAGAAGCCAAATTTCTGGCTACAAAACATTGCAAAAAAACGGTACCACAAAATGTTATTGTATAGTGACTGAAACGCCAGTTTAGGCTTTAGTGTTATTTCAATAGGAGGTGACTGGCTGGTAATGAAATGCTAGGTATGTAAGGAAAACAGTAAAACTTGATACTTAAGATGATATGTATTGTAGATACCAGAAGCCATCAAACATCACTACCGTAATCCACCCCCATTACTGCCACGACTAACCGACAACATGACCCAGGATGTTCCTGTTACCATGGAAGGTAAACCCACTGCCACACTCGAGGAGCAGGAAGAAGTGAGTAGAGATATTTGATATAGAATATGGAAGTTTATCATTAATTGTGTTAAAATAATTACGGAAAAGTCACATAAAGAAATATTTTAACTATTGAAAAAAGGATCAGTATTTTCTGATTTGAAAAAAAAAATGTTTTGTTGAAACAGTTTCAGTATGCGTAAAATTTTTAGAAAATGTGGCATAGTATAGTGTCCAGACCTAAATTCAACTTAAGTGGATCAGATATTATGTAATCATTGATTGGAAGTATTCTAAATCAAATTCCTGATTTAGCATTGAGGACACTTGATATAAAAGAATAAGAGGTGATAAATTCTCTGCTAAGATTTCAGAGTTTTTTGTTGTAATTTGTTTTGTGTATTCCTGACATAATGTTTGAGAAGTAGTTTCTTTGTTTTGTATGAAAGGAGATTTTGTTTCATTCATTGTAAGTTACTTTATTTATTTATCGTGAAATATTTCAAACTTTCAATCACATAAGGTAAGGAATGTTTTCAGTAATATGACAGTCTTGAAGAGTCCTTGTCTTTAATAGCTTATCATTAATGAATTTAAAGTAATTTCTAGATCAAAGTTTGAGAAATCATATATTCGCAAATGTGTCTGAACAGATATGTTCATGAAATCTAAGTGACTTACAGTATTTGCAATATAAACTAATGGCATAGTAGTAAAAGCTAAACAATGATGAAAAAAGCTGTTGAGTTACATTCAATCACAATAAAGATGTTTAATCACATGATAATAGAATTTTCACTAATGTGATGGAAACACTAATGTTTGAGTTCTGATAATGGTTATTTTAATCCTCAGTGGCTAACAGCTGTGGTCTCATTACAAACAAGCATAGCGAAACACTTGGCACAGCAGCAAATCCAAAGATCTAGTGATGGCAGTTCTCGCGTCAGTGAAACATCAAAACCCGAAAAGCCTACAGCATCTGTACAACCGGTGGTCCAGAGAGACACAGTTGAACAAGAAAGTTCTTCATCAGTGGGACAATCCTGTGATATTGACAAGTTATCTGCCCTTGATGGTGATCGGACTTTACTAAATGGTCCCGTCTCTCAAGACGGTGTTTCTAATGGACCTCTAGATGTAAATAGAGGAGGAGCTATCTCATTGTTAAATCCTCCTGGCTTCTCCTCAAGTGGACAAATTGTAGGATCTGGTTCAAATTCTTCATCTGTGAATGGTGATGTGGAAATGACAGATGTTTCTAATGTGAAAGGCACAACATCATCTGATTCTCCAGCTGTGATCAAATCTCGTAGTAACAGTACAGACAGTCCAAGTATTGTGCGTGTCAACTGGTCCTCAGGGGACAAACAGGGTGTGGCAATATCCTCAGCAACAGGGGTGACCACTCCATCAGGGAAGAACATTGTCATCAGTGCTGTAAACAAAACTAATAACACTGTTGTAACTAAAGTGTTAGGACCCAATAGTCAGGGAGGTAAACTAGCAGCTAACAATATGGCAGCAAAAAACCTAAGTGGCAGTAACCCAACGTCTATTCTGTCACCTCAGGTCACAGGCAAACAGATGGCCAAAGTGACAGGTATGGCCATAGGCAAGACCACAACTACAGGGTCAGGCAGCACAGCAAAGGTCATTACAGTGTCGGCTCCATCAGGTAAGTCAAGGTCATTACAGTGTCAGATCCATCAGGTAGGTCAAGGTTATTACAGTGTCAGATCTATCAGGTAGGTCAAGGTCATAACAGTGTCGGTTCCATCAGGTAAGTCAAGGTCATTACAGTGTCGGCTCCATCAGGTAAGTCAAGGTCATTACAGTGTCGGATCCATCAGGTAGGTCAAGGTTATTACGGTGTCAGATCAATCAGGTAAGTCAAGGTCATTAAAGTGTCAGCTCCATCAGGTAAGTCAAGGTCATTACAGTGTCAGATCCATCAAGTAGGTAGATTCACCAAATAAAGTGTTTTGTAACAGCTCATTAATGTAACTCAAGGTCATCTTCATTATCTCCATCATTTAAGAACTTTCATGTCTGTTTAGTGGTGTCTTAGACCATGATTTCTACTGTTATATATTATAAGCTGATCATCTCTGAGCTGTGTAATATACATGTGTTAGACTTTGGGTATCTAAAATATTGCTCAATCTTTGATTATAGGTAAAGTGTCCACAGCCAATTCTCATGGGTCATCCAACGCCATTGTGTCCCTCAATAATTCTCTACAGCAGTGTGTGGAGGGAGCAGGAGGTAAGAGACAACAGGAGAGGATATATAGAGAAAGTAGTGACCCTCTTTTGTTTTAGTATGATATTATGTATGTACACAGTGGGCTGTCAGTAAACAGGTACTACTGGGATCTGTAGAGAATTCTGGATGGTTGGTAGTCAGTAGAATAGAATAAAAACTATGAAAACAATGATTGATGTTTTGTTTTTATGAAAGTCTTGCAATTGAAATTCACATCATTGATATTAGCAATAATAGATCTACATTTATTTCACAATGCAATTAATACAAGAGAACATTAGATCTGTTAATTGATATGACACAGATTTCATTATTGTCACATTGTCAATATTGATGGCTGTTACAATTAGGATACTTGAAAAAGTCAGTGATTGCCTTATGCTCTTACCAGTATTATTGTGACAGTCAAATCATTCTATTTTGGTGTTGAATTTTGTTAAGTTATGCATATGTATAACCTGCATCATGAAGTACTTAAAATGTGATTTTCTTTCCTTAGACAATGAACTGAGTAAGCTGGATGAGCGCCTCATACAGATCCTGGCCTGGCAGAGGCTGCAGCAGCTGATGCCACACAAACAGCAATCCTCTTCCTCAAAAAAAGGAGTATTAAATGGACTTCTAACACAACAAGGTAATAAACAGTCCTTATAAGTTACAAATATTATCTGAATATGCAGACCAATACTTGATAAACTATGGTAAATAACTCTGGATGGTGAAGTTGGATACTATATCAGTCTGACATAAAAATATTCAATTCCTGAACCCTACCAACCATAGTTGAGAATGAAAGAGTATGGAGAGATTTTCTTACACTTCTGTAAATGGTCTAGATGTTAAAATTCTTTGATAATTTCTATCTATTCTGAAAAAGATTTAAAATCAAAGAGAATATTTTAACAAAAATAGTGGTGATTTTGGATGCCCTTCGGTGATTTCTTGCAAATGTTGATGAAATGAATAATTACAAATGCTATGATCCTGTTTATAGAACTAGAGTACCTTTACCTAAGGGACCATTGGTTAGGTTCTCTCAAATAGATAAGCATGAGTGACATCCCTTTATACTACTAGAATATAGTTGTGGGAAAGCTTTGCTGTTAAAGATATTGCCTTGGTTCTGTTTGGATCAAGGCAGGATAGTGTTCAATCTGTGTCTCCTGACAATGTATGATTGATAAGAAATAATGATTCTTACAGCTTACATTTCCATTGATGATAAGAGTTGACCTGAAATGAATGTGTTGTTAAATACATGGAAAATATTTGTAATGGTAATGCTATGATAAGAGTTGACCTGAAATGAATGTGTTGTTAAATACATGGAAAATATTTGTAATGGTAATGCTACCTTCACCATGTAATATGTAAATTAATCCATGCCTAGATTATGTTCTATGTATCGTCCTATGTCAGTGTGTTAGTATTAAATTCATGGTATCGTATTATCAATATTGAAGAACTCTGTCCTATATACTTGTGAGATCAAGACATCTTACTGTTAGCACTATCATCTCATGTTACTGTGTTGTAAATATTGAAGGACTCGGTCCTAGATACTGGGGAAATCAAGGCATGTCAATGATTATAAATATTGTATGATTATATCCTAGGTGCTGGTGAAATCAAAGCACGTGCTGTTTTATGTCCTCTGACAGGGAAGGGCCAGCCGATCCCTATGTCCTACAGGACACTCAACATAGGAACAGGTATTACCATACTGAAAGCTTTACTTAGTCCACACAGAATTAAAAGTGAAAACAATTTCTTTGGTATCTAGACTGAAGAAAATAGTTGGGTCTTTTCCATCTTGTACTCAATTTTTATGCAAAGTTTTATGACAGTTTCTTTATTTTGTGTCCTGTTATGTTTTCTTCTCTTCACAAAATTGACTTCTTTGAGATTTGTAAGATGTTTGAGGAAAAAGAATTTTACATATCAGAATTAGTCTTGCAAAATGCACAATTGAAGCTTTATGCTGATTTTTAAACACATTAATTCCTGTTATAACTGGATTTAGAATTTGAACAAGTTATCCCTGTAACATTACCATAGAAAATAAAGTATCAATGTATTCCATTATTAGCAATCAATATATACCAACAATAGCTAAAATTGCCTGATAAGTATGATCAAAATGTAGTTTCCATGGTGATGTTTCAGTAGGTGTATATTGACATGTCTCTGCAGTAACCTTGGTGTCACTATATATCAATTGTTTCCGTTATTCCAGGTGCTGATATGGATGTGTGCTTATCACAGTTTGGGCACTGTAACTTTATCTCACCAAAACATGCCTACATTTTCTACGATGAAGTAAGTTAAAATAGTTATCTTTTTAACACCAAAACATGCCTACATTTTCTACGATGAAGTAAGTTGAAATAGTTATCTTTTTAACACCAAAACATGCCTACATTTTCTACGATGAAGTAAGTTAAAATAGTTATCTTTTTAACACCAAAACATGCCTACATTTTCTACGATGAAGTAAGTTGAAATAGTTATCTTTTTAACACCAAAACATGCCTACATTTTCTATGATGAAGTAAGTTGAAATAGTTATCTTTTTAACACCAAAACATGCCTACATTTTCTATGATGAAGTAAGTTGAAAAAGTTATCTTTTTAACACCAAAACATGCCTACATTTTCTATGATGAAGTAAGTTGAAATAGTTATCTTTTTAACACCAAAACTTGCCTACATTTTCTATGATGAAGTAAGTTGAAATATTTATCTTTTAACACCAAAACATGACTTTATTTTCTATGATGAAATGAATCAAAACATAAAGAATTGTTTTCAGTTAGTAGAAAATGATTTGATTATGGAATGATGAATTTGTCTTGCAGTGGTTAAGACTATATAGTTTTAGTTTTTAATTTAACAAACATTTCTAGTGATGTAATTTAAGAGTTGAAACTTTTAATTCAGATCAGGTTTGATGGCACTGCGCAGTGGATTTCCTCCTTCAATTATTGTTATTAGATCCGATTATTCTAATGATCAATGTATGGGCATAATTTTGTGTTTGCGTTGTAAATATTTTGAGTTATAAATTCATACTTATGCTTCATGTTTATATATTTATGTTAGAAATATTTCTATTTATTCTACATCTAGGATGTTTATCTAGTCAGAGTAGTGTAAACTTTTATCCTGTCGAGTTGGTAGAGGTATGTTTGTTGTTTAAAAAATTTGAATATTCCAATGGGGGGGGGGGGGGGGTACAGGTTGATACAGGCCTTGTTGACCTCTTATTGTCTATTTGTTTCAGACTACAAAGCATTATGAGCTACTGAACTACAGTGAACATGGCAGTACTGTTGATAATGTCCTATATTCCTGTGACTTTTCCGACAAAGTAGCAACCACACCCCAGCCTACTGCTGTGGTTGCAGCAGTCCGTAACATTATTAGTAAAAGGAAAGAAACAACAGAGGAACGCATGGAGGACAGACCAACGATGTGTTCTAAAGTCACAGACAATGTAAGTAGTATACAATTAGCATGTATGTATTTATATATGTACACCGTATCAGGACCCAGCAAATTGAGAACCCGTAAGTTGAGAATGAGGTTAGAAAGTAGGCTGTCATATCATATATGTTTCAGTCCCTGATACTTTTAACTATATAACATGTGTAAATTTGAAAAACACATTTTTTGAGTTGACATTCTTTAGGTAGAAACAGCTCTTGTTAATTTGGGCTGTATCTGAAAGTATATTGCAATTTTGGAATTATGAATAACACGGTTTTGTTGATGTTAAAATAAGGATTACATCAATAGTTTTTGTATTTATTCCTTTTAGTTATACTGCTTTTGTATTGTCTTTCAGGGCAGAAAACCATGCAATTGTAAAGCCAGTAGTTCTAGTTTGATTGGAGGAAGTGGTGCAGGCTGGGAGGGCACAGCCTTGCTCCATCATGGAAGTTATATCAAGGTTGGCTGTTTACAGTTTGTGTTCAGCATCGTTGACCATGCCACCAATGTACCTGGACAGGATCGACGCAAAGAGCCAATGTCCCTCCTTAAATCTACGCTCAAAGCATCTGCTCCATAGGTCATACTACGTCTTGCACCGCCTCAGGGAACGGAGGGCAATAAGGACACATCATCTAACATCTCCATCGACCGCCCTTGTTTATCAGATATTTGTCACATTTAGTTGGTATTTCCTTCATATAAAAAATCTCCATTTATCAACAAAAGTCATTCTCACCACCAATCCAGTAACATTATATCTCCTTGATATCCTTCTTAGCCCTCAGATCGTCATCCTGTATTTTGTTTGCATACACCAAATAAACCAATCGGAGATGTGCTAGTTTTGTATGTGTGCAATACAAGATTTCAGATGTATACATTTATTATCAGACCCCTTGGTTTGTTGGGTAGAGAAAATCTGCATTTCATTCTATATCAATACTATAACTTGGAAATCTTTTTTTTTTATTTCAATATTATTTGATGCCCTTTAATTGTTGTGAGTTTAATCCTTTCGTTAAACAGGAAACAGATGCATTTAATTCTCAAGTTATACTTTCTGCTGTGCGAGCGTGTGTGAAACTGCATCTCGTTCCAAATGTTATATTGATGGATAATATTAATGTTTTATGGATGTGTTTACTACAAAAGTCATATAATGTGATAGCTCTGTAAGATACCTTAGGTATTTATCATGTGTCACAAATCATTCAGAATGATGTTAAGTAGAAATATATAGGTGTATACCAGTTACATGTTGATATTTTTGATAGAAGAATGTCTGTATCCCTAAGTCTGATGTACTTTCCTAATGTTCGTTAAAAACATTTTCTGTAGTTGTATATAAAAAGATTCTTACAAATGGAAACTCAAAGTTTAAATTGTAAAGAATGATACATTTAGTTGAAATATATTGAAGGTAGAGATGCTATACGGTCTGTGTTATCTCCCATAAAATCTAAAGGATATGTTTTTGGTTTGGCAGACTTAGTAATTGTTGGAGGAAAATTTGGTTTTTTTAAAGAAATGGAGGACATGGTAAGTTCTTGTTTAATGAAAAAATCTGATTGACATTTGTTGTGCAACTTGTAACATTAATTGGAAATGAAGGTTTTGTAACTTGATATGTGCAAGCTACTGTGTTTTGGTCTTTTATTGTAATATAGAGGCTAAGTTTAACTGAGATTACATAATGGTATGGTAAATCAATTAGATTTCATGAATACGTTGTTTTGCGAACACTGATCTAGAAATGACTTTGAATTCATGAATTATGAGTTATTAAAGACATGTAATCTTTAAGACTCTCAAGAGAACAAGATATGCCATGGTAGGCCAACGCCTCACCAACTGGGCTATCACTACCCTTTTTGGTAGGCCAACGCCTCACCAACTGAGCTATCACTACCCTTGTTGGTAGGCCAACGCCTCACCAACTGAGCTATCACTACCCTTGTTGGTAGGCCAACGCCTCACCAACTGAGCTACCACTACCCTTGTTGGTAGGCCAACGCCTCACCAACTGAGCTACCACTACCCTTGTTGGTAGGCCAATGCCTCACCAACTGAGCTACCACTTCCCTTGTTGGTAGGCCTACGCCTCACCAACTGAGCTACCACTACCCTTGTTTGTAGGCCAACGCCTCACAAACTGAGCTATCACTACCCTTGTTTGAAAGAGAAGTTTCCCATTTCTAAATGAAAAATACTTCTAGTATTGAATAGTGTCACCAAAGAAATTCTTTACTGGATATTTTTAGCAAGCATGGTTTTTGTATCGTTACATGAATCAAAACTGCTTCCAGGGTTAGAATTTACAAGTTTTCATCTTTAAGAGAGGTGGTAATAATCGGTCTACCTTAGATTATAGGTAAACAATTTGGTTCAAACAAAAGACATAAATTTTTTAACTTTGATTAAATTTTATGATAACAGTGGTCAGTTGTGTTAACGTTGATGTAGAGAAAAACATTTTTTTCCTTGGCAAATGCTAGCAATTCAAAGAAGGGCTTTGACCCAAAAGTAGTAATTTGGGAACTGGTAATTACGAGTTAAGAAACCATTTTTTCTGTTCAACCAACTAGACATCGTCCTCAAGAAAGTTTCAAACTATTGCAGAACAGTTACAGATGGCAGTACATGTACTGGTATTTATTAGCATAGAGGGGTAACATTAATTTTACAAACAATAAATTTCAGGATACCATGGTGATCCTGAATTTCTGTTTGTTGCAAATACATAGGTATTAAAGGTACCACCCGTAGAATATAATTGATGAATTGCATGGATGTGACAGACAGGAAACTGATCCATTGATAGAAGTGATATATTTTTGGGTCAAGTAGATGTTCTACTGAAATAGCCCTGAAGAAAATAAACTGAAATTTCATTTGACAGCTATAATATAAAATCACAAGGGCCAAGTATTGATTCCCTGATGTGATTTCCAGCGTGTGATCTGTGTTGGACAACCTAATAAATCAGTACCAGGGGAATGAACACACTTAGTACACATCCAGTCACATTATTGTTTTTTCGTTGTTTTGTTACTGTGATGAAGTTGGATCTTTGTGCCAAATTTCCAGTAGTTCAGATTTGTATTTGCTGGTTGTGTAGCTCCTTAGTAAAGGAGAGGTATCATCATTATTAGCTGATGTTTGCTATCTTTTGTATAGCAAGCTCATATGTGCATTAAGCTATAGAGCTTGAACAAAGATGGTACACATTTATCAGTTTCTAGCTTAATTAAACCAAGTACTTTTAACTTTGAAGTATATATTTTGCAATCTAATTTTGAATATCTTCCATTCAAAATGAAGAGTTACAGGAAACCAAAATTGTGAAATATAACCTTTTCTTTTTGATATTGCACACATAGATTTCTAATGTTAAACTTTTCTACTTTTGTAAAGTGAGAGCTTTATGTGGCAAGATCTTATCATTTGTAAGTCATATTGCTGAAGTATTTATGAAAGTGTGTAGGATGAAAGCAGGGAAAATGTCTTTAATAGTGACCTAATTTTGAATGATTTCCTTAATGTTGAAAAAAATCATGAAATAGATTTTTTTTACAAAGTAAAAAAGTTGAGTACTCTTGTGTAATGAGGTTGTTCTAGACATTGTTAATTGGTACATTGTATTAACACTGACAACAAGGTTAATTGGTACATTGTATGAACACTGATAACAAGGTTAATTGGTACATTGTATGAACACTAACAACAAGGTTAATTGGTACATTGTATTAACACTGACAACAAGGTTAATTGGTACATTGTATTAACACTGACAACAAGGTTAATTGGTAAATTGTATTAACACTGACAACAAGGTTAATTGGTGTACATTGTATTAACACTGACAACAAGGTTAATTGGCACATTGTATTAACACTGACAACAAGGTTAATTGGCACATTGTATTAACACTGACAACAAGGTTAATTGGCACATTGTATTAACACTGACAACAAGGTTAATTGGTACATTGTATTAACACTGACAACAAGGTTAATTGGTACATTGTATTAACACTGACAACAAGGTTAATTGGTACATTGTATTAACACTGACAACAAGGTTAATTGGTACATTGTATTAACACTGACAACAAGGTTAATTGGTACATTGTATTAACACTGACAACAAGGTTAATTGGTACATTGTATGAACACTAACAACAAGGTTAATAGGTACATTGTATTAACACTGACAACAAGGTTAATTGGTACATTATATTAACACTGACAAGGTTAACTGGTGCACATAGAGGACCAAACACAAGTTTCCAGTTCATAAGTCGTATTAATTGTTCACATGTGGCTTCAGGAACCATTCTTGACCAGTTTGATAATGTAAATTTCTGATGATCACATAAATACAGATTATTTTCCTGATATAAAATCTGAGCACCTTCAGTCAAACAAAGCTTGGCTCGGTGTAATATCATTGGCTGTGACATCATTTATGTAATATATTATAGGGTTATCATTTTGTGATCAGTATAAACAATGTAAGCCAATTAGTTTGTCACTAAAAATAGATAAATGATGCATTGTTTTGAGACTTGTTATACCGCACGAGAATTGTGTCAGTAACTGGTTTATTCTGAAGATGGCAGGAATCTTGTGATTGAAAATATAGCTTGCTATGAAAATAAATTATATTGTAGTTTTAATAAAAAAAAAATCTATCTTCAATTTGATATTGAGAATTTGCCAGCTGATAGAGACTGTACATGGCTTGATGTTGTGTTCTTTGTTCATCATTAGTCTGACATGGTCCAGGAATACTTCTTATCAAGTTTGAATAGACATTAATAACAAAATCCAGCACTCTTCCTTAATTTGGTCAAAAAAAAAAAAAACAATTGTAAGGGGAAGAAATATTGATACGAATGTAGACAAAATGAAATCTGGTATTGCTTTGAAGATTTCCAATGTATTGTTACTGCTATAGAAATGTATGACAAGACAGCTGAATCAGATTATCTCTTGTTAGACTGTTGTTGTACATACTATACATTACATTGCTCTTTGTTGTTGTTGCAATGTTTAAGATGATACTAATTATTTAGTAGGTTTAATTGCTATCAACCTGTTGAAAGTCCTTCTTTCTGTACATAACATGCTGGTACCAAAAACCCTTGTTACCGATGCAATCGCTAATGCTAGAGGCTGATAATGTTTGAGGCTGATTTGGCAGCTTGAAAGGGATTCTGCTGAATATTAATTGTTACATTGTAAAATCGTTGAATGGATGAAACAATCAAATGTCCCCCTGAATTATGAATTGATTTATTGTGGAGTATTGTTCTAAATGGTGTTTTAGAACTGTCGTACACTACAGGTAGTTTGTTTGTACTAAAAATAGAATCAGGTTGGTTTTGTCTGGTATGACAAATTTTGATGAAAATTTCATGCTTCATGGATACTTTTTTTTATACGTTTTTGTTGGTTTATCTCATGACCCTATGAGGGGGTAATTTACCAGTAATTTGACAATAAAATCAGAGCGACTTCTTGTTATAGGGAAAGGGTGAACAAAGGATCTAACTACAATAACTCATGTTATCTCCATCAATTCACTTTTGTAAAGATTGATATGACCCACGCAATGTAAATAGATTTGATACTAGTTTATACCGGCTGCAGATTCTGTCTGTTACACATGTATAGTTAATGTCGGTGTTATAAGCGTGTACTAGACCCTGTGGATATTTTAGACTGTAAACATGGTTACAATAAATGATACAAGAATTTTTCTCCTAGTTTTTGTTTATTTTCATTTGGTTTGAAGGCTTCGTTGGAACAGCATCCATTTGTCACTCTTTTTAAAATGATTTTATCGATGGAACAAAGAGTGTAAAACTGATGAGAGACCGCATTCACAAGTCCATCAACTTTTTCAAAATAGGTCTGCTTTAGCTAGGTAACCCAAGACAATCTCGCGCAGACCTATTGCAATATCCTTTTGTCTGGCGACATCTGGTGTTTGGCGTGTGTTGTAAACTTTGCAGAAATCATCTATGATTAAAAGTTGACCAAAATTGTAAATTATCTGGTTCCCACCCTCAGGTGGGTACCATCAAATACTCTTCATGTATGGAAGGGTCTAAAGGTGCTTTGTCACAATTATAAAATTATTTTTGGCTCCAGGGTCCAACATTTCCCCCTGGGGAGTAGGTAAGAGTTTATTTAGGAAAATCACATTTTTGAGCATAATTTGTTTATTTTCTATTGAAAATGAATTAAACTTGTTAAGAATTGTAAGTATGAATGTTATGTACACATTGACCCTGGATGATAGGCAGGGCAATATTGCCAAATTTGAAAAATCTGGTCAATACCCAAATATAGAATCAAATACTCCTAATGGATATAATGTTCGTAAGGTCAAACTCTTCCATGTCCTTGTACAAATAGCATTTATCATTTCTCTACACTACACATTCATTTCAATTTTTTCTATTGAGTTTACTGAGGTGACTGTTTAGGCCCCTTTGCCTCTTGTTGATGAACTGATGAGATACAACATCCATCTTCCAAATCTTTCAAGGAGCATCTTGTTCCAATCAGAATAATTTTAAGAGGTAGACAAGGGGTTTAATGAGAGGAATCATCTGTCCTGAATTGCTAAGTGCATTTGGATTTGCTAAGAAGGCAGATGCCTATTTAGTTTAAAGCATACAAATGTAGAAGACAAAAAGTACCATAGAACACTTAAGGACTGAGGAATGCAATTTCTCGTCTGTGAAATAGAGACTGGCATTATTTTTACCGATGGTAGTAGCATAATGAACATTTCAAAACATCCACCATTTACAAAATATCTTGTAGATTTGACACTTTAACAATTCTGATAATAAGGGATGAAGAGAAGCTGTCAATTTTTAATCGGAAAAACAAATTAGCTGACAGGCAAACTTCTTGGATTTTGCCAATGAAAGATTGTTATCACAAATTTATTTTGATTGCCTTTAAATTATAATCAAAAGGCTGAGGGAGCTGATGTTGGGCATGTTGCATGCCTAGACGAAGGTCAACCAATTTTCTCAAATAAATGACTTAGACCCATTTTTCATACTTTCATAACGAAATATTCTGCCAATAGAATATTGAAAATTTGACCATTACCAAAAACTCCAGCAGGTTTTCATTAGATTTCAGTCCAGTTTTTTTTTTTATTATGTCTTTGAAAAAGTTTCCAGTAACAATTTCCCAGACCATGTATTATTGACAACATATTCCCAGTTCTATTTTAGTAACGGCGACCTTGATTTTAAGTACCTTTTAAACCAATTATTGCACATGTAAAATTTAAGAAAATTCGGTATTCCTTATTCTGATATAATCTCCAGGAACAAAAGTAAAAACAGACAGACAGATGCTGCAATTACTATAAGCACAGCACTTCTATTCAGGGCCTCAAAGACATGGTGCAAACAACATAACAACACAAAGATGTCTTTATTCAGTAAGCATTTTATTTCCAAGGTATACAGACTGCTGTTGACAATGACACAGAAAACAGTAATAATATAAATATTGTGGGCATTTTTCGGTTCAATATCTATTTTAAGTTTGTATAATCTACAAACTTACACAAAATTATTTCAAAAAAGTGTTCTTTTTTTCCACTATATTTTAGAATTAGGCTAGTTTGACTGCATCACAAATTGATAAAGGAAAATAAACAGCTAAGAAGGAAATGAATACTTGGTGATTTTGTCCAGTTTTTAAAACCAATTTGTGTAATATCTCAAAAAGCTCTCACCTTGGCAAACACTAATTATCTGCCCCTGATTCTTTGCCTCTCCACCTTGGCAAAATTTAATTATCTGCCCCTGAATCTTTCCCTATGGTATACATAAATATACAATACTCATCTTTCAAAACATTAAAGCATTTAAATTTGTAATACAAAATAATTAGGGAAATATTTTAAATGCTAGCCAACAGCCAAAGCTAGTTAATTTCAACTCTCATTCAAGGACTCCTGCAGTGTCAGCAGAAAGGGGGAATGTAGCTGTCACAGGTATAAAATGGGGCGCGACATTTATCTGGCTATTATTTAATTACATAAAAGCAACAACTTGAGGATTTGTTTTGAAAGTCCCAACTTTCATTCCCTATGGAGTGGAAAATAGTTGCTTGGTAGAATGTTGTTGAAAACATGGTGAATGCCATTGTAAAGTCTTCATGGCATATCAGTGCTATATAAATGGGACTTGTCAGTGTTGGAGGAAAGGGTGATCTGAATATGATAGAATTCTAACAGTTAAAGGCACATTAATAAGGATGGTATAAAGCAGGGTAACATGAATGTAAAATACAGGGAATGCCCCACCTAGTGGAGTCTAGTCACATAGGAAGACCCAAGTCTCCAACCATGATGGATCCCATCAGACAGGTGGAAATTAACTGGCCTTATACAAAGGTTGATTGTGGAAATTGCCCACAAGATCAATCTGTCTCTGAAGTAGATCTGTACATTATGAGCAATTCGACAAAATTCTCAAACAATTTTATTTTTTCAATACTAATGACTCTTAATACTTTTCTTTTAAATGCAAAGTATAGAAATGCCCAAGTTGAGACAGATTCAAAGCATGTGGTCCTGAGTAGGCCACACACAGCTTCCACAAGTAGAAAAAGTAACATCAGCTGTGTTCATGTAATTTTTATAGCCATGTATTGTTCAGTGACACACTACAGAGTATCCTACAAAAGATGTTGACTTAACACTTTAACAAAATAAAGATAAATGTTGAATATCATTTCAGTTCTTTGCAAAAACAGTAAATTCTCCGACACATGTTGCTACCGATGTTTTTACTGTATCAAAGCATCTAAATTATTGATAAAGTAATACATGAGATAATGTTTGCACCTACGATCAGCATTGGTAACTTGAGTCTTACAACTGCCTGATAATGATGAACAGAAAGTTAATGCATTGCAAGTGTATGTTGAAAACGATTTATATGAGCTAGATGACAGTTTGATGTATCGAATGAATTCTAGTTCACCTACAAGTGATGAAGGATGTATTATGACAATGTAGAGACATGTTGGTTCTGAGGGAGATCAGTTTCGCTTTTTTTCTTTTAACATTTAGTGGCTCTCTGGCGATCTCCCCTGAACAGCTTCATTATTCAATCCACAATATGTAATGCTGATCTTTACGTAACTAGGTGATTTCCATGCAAGTTTGTTTAGCTTGTGAATTTTATCCTGTTATTTTAATACAGTTGTTTTTGCTTTAATTAATTTTAGTAGTTCTGTATATACTGCTATAACACATCTTGAATATTACCTGGAGTAACAAATTATATGCATCTATCAAAGGTAAGGATTGTGAACAAGAAAGACGAGGCAGCTGTTGCTGCAGGAGTCCACTTACACTCAAAGTAAACCTTGCACACCACCACAGGAGGGGCCACAATTCTAGCTACTAATATCACCACATCAGAAATGGTGTCATTCAAGCTAATCCTCACAATTACCATTACTCCCCACACATACATCAACTCAGAGACTGTTGTTGAGGAAAGCATATTACTTGTAAATATAACGTGTACGGTCTAATCTATACCTCCAAACAACAGCTCATTAATCAGGAAATAATTTCATTGTGATTGAAGCAAGGTTTTCTGTGTGAATTACTCAGGCCTTTTCTAGGGATTTTTTTAACAATAATCCCACAGTCATGCTCAAATCCAAAAATTTGATGTTTACAATTGAAACCTTACTAGTATTTCCCTATTGATTAATGATGTTCTCAAAACAAGACAAAAAGGCCTTTGTTGTATATAGTGACACACTGTTTGTGTGTGGTGCATCATGGATGTCAGATGAACCATCTTTTTCTTTGTGATGACAAATGTACGCAGACACATTATGTATGTAAACTGTAACATGGTATCAGCTACCAGCGTTATCCAACACAATATTCATATAGTTGTTGTAAAAAACATCTGTCTTTAAATAAAGGCCAAAATAAACTTCCATTCATCTGTTAAGTTAACCATTAATATTTATGAATACAGGTCCTAACTTCACTGGTAAAATATAAACACCGGAGAAATTCAGTTTTACTACAGATACCGTGGTCCTATAAGCCTCCTGTGGTACAATATGAGAACATAACCATGGCAACAAACTCAGCAAATTCCCATATATGGACGTGACTGGGAATTGTGGCTTAGTATGGAAAAAAACTAAAACCTTCATATTTTCATAGCCATTAAGATGTTTGTAATGATTTATTTCAATATTGTAAATAGGTTGGATTCAACAAAATAAACTTTTTTTTTTAATAAAAAACCTGAAGAAGCTACAATTTTTCAATCAGTGTCACCAACTTGGAGTAATTTTTTCTTTACCTTTTTACTTTCCTTCATGTTGTATCACATTAAGAATTAAACCAGAGATTCAACCCAATGAGTTCTAATGCCTGACTGAAATATTACCATGGTTATATCAGCACTTCTACAATTAAACCAAGGGCACAAACAAGACAATTTCACCTTTTTCCCTCAAAACAAACACCTTTCTTGCAAATGATTAACTGAACAAAAGGAATCAAAGAAACAAAATGGAAAATAATTGCAAGTATCATCATAATTATGTAACATTGTTCATAAACACACGATCCTTCTACACCTCATGTGTGTCATTCTTCCCAAGTACTGGGCCCGAGACAACACATTCACCGTTTCTCACCAATAACTATTAACACTAGTACTCTTAAGTTGTGAAGCATTCTATGTGTTAGTGACCTCTGATCTCTCACCTTCTAACCTTAAGGCTTCACCACTAACCTGCTCCACAATTCTTGTATACAAAAACAAACATTTTTTAAGTTGATCTATACATAGCGCCCTGCAACCCCTTTATCTGATCTTTCAAAACATTTCTTTCCAATTTCCAATCTCAAACAAATTAAATGGTATTATAACATTATCCATGTTTTCTTATTATTTTCTTTTTCCCTACATTTCAAAATAATTAATTTCCTAAAAATCACATCCCTCTTACAAACATGAAATGAAAAAAAGTTATCAAAATAGTTTGTTGAGCAAATAAAACTTTGAAGAAACATTTCAGTGAATGTAAACATAGGAGCCAGTATATAAATACAGTACACATCATTAATAGAGTAACAGCATTACATGCCTGTATATATAATATAAATCATTTAACAATTTTAACAGATTTCTTAATTAAACCAACACAAATATTACAAAGGTTAAAATAAATTTTTTCTCAGATATGCAGTGCAAAAATATCAAAACAGTTCTGGGTATGATGGAACACACAAGACAGTGCATGTTTCTAGGACTAAAATGCAGTTTATTGTCTGACTTTCACAAGGTAACAGACATACAGTGATACAATGACTTACTCAAACTTGTGACACAGTCAAAAAAGGAATGTTGTTAACATCGAGGTGTCCCTCTACTGTCACAAGTCTTGTATCTTCTTGGACTTGATCAATACATGTGCAGTTACATTTTATCTGGATGTTTCTAAAAAACGTAAGTATATTTTCTAAAAAGTTTCTTCCTTAAAACTGAATTTGACGGATTCTTCATGAGGTTTTGTCATGTTGTAACAGCACCTGGAAATAGCTAACAGCTGTACTTATCATCATTGCAATGGTAGGAACAACAGAAATTTCTTTAATGTCAATAAGCTAAGCATGTTTCCAATAGTTAATTCTATTATTCTCTGTAAAAAGAGGCTGATTATAAGAAAAACTGTATTTCTTTAAATCGAAAATCCATGTTTCATTGATTTTCTTTCCCATTTGAATGTGTTGAGACTAAGTAAGCAATGAATTATATGACACCCACATCAACCCTGCCTATTGGCGTGACCAAATCCCGACAAGATAACAGTATAAAACTCAAACTGAATGTACCAAGCTAGATTTTATGATCAGGGAAATAAAAACCATTTCAAATCTTAAGAAGTTAAGGAAAATAACAACATTCACAAAATGATAAATAATACATTTGATAAAGAAATAAACAAATATAAAAATCAACTTAAAACACTTTTTGTTTGTGGACTTGGATGTTTGTGGGAGGTAATAAATTAAATCTAAATTTCAACAATTCTGTACTGGAACAAATACTAGAATATTGAGATTGTAGTTTTTTCAATATGCCTCATGTGACCTGAGCTATATAACAACAATAACATTACAAGAATATTTCAATATTCTATCTCTTAAAAGTATTTTGGCATAAACAATGTTTGTTCTAACCCTTATTTTGCAGCAGTGTACCTAATTGTTGCTGCTCTTTTACGCTGGCCACTTACTGGTAACTTTTTTGACAAATACAAATGGTAGAGAGGCATTAGTTAGCAACGACTTCATAATACTTCTAACTAACCTTTTATCTATAAGTCAAAGACAAGATTATCTCCCTTTTGGTCAACTGCAAGCTAAAGGCTACATCATTTCAAAATTTCTCCCTTACCATTATCAGTAGTAAGGTTATCTCCCTTACCATTCTCAAAAGTAAGGTTATCTACCTTACCAGGTAGAAGTTTCTCCCTCACCTTTTAATTTTTTCTTTACATCGTAGAACTACTTTTATTAGATTTTACATCAGTATTGAATTATTCACGACTTCCGAAGATGTACGTTATATGTATCAACATAACAGATTCTGATTTTTTTTCTTTTGTTAAGTGTTATTGTTAATATTTCTTTGCGATAACAGACTCATTTGACTGTCTCTGTTTATACATGTATAATGTATATCTCAGGAGATTTAATAAATTATTTCAAAACAACATGCACTTTGGGATGTCTCTAATACTTAAATGGAAAATATCTTTCATATCAGCATGTTTTGTCTCTAGCAAGGAAAATTAAGATTTCCCAATCCACGCATATTCTTTTAAAGCATTTTTGAAAGAAAAATCTATGTAATTTTACATTAAAAACTGCATGGCAAGCAGTGAGTAAAAGTCTGAGATACGTTAACAAGGACAAGGTTGTGTGCTAGCTCGGGTACAGTGATAGATATCTATTTGAGCAGCAACTTGTGTACCTAGTACCTAATACACCAACAATCAACAGTAAAAAACAATTATAGAATCCTGTCAGTGGATCCTGCAGCTTGAAAAACCCATCATGATCAAACAATCCCTGTTGGCTATAACTCAACCCCGTAAATTCACATAAATTTATTCTCTAAATTTCTAACATTGTCTAAACTGCAAGAATTACATCAAAATTGCTTTGTGAAATAAAATGCATGTTTTCCACTCCATAACAAAAATACATTGCCTATGTCAATGCAAAATAGACAACTATGGCAAATAAATATAAGGATTTATAAGGCTTGTACATAGACATGGGCGGTAGGCAAACATAAGCTCATGTGTTGACAGAAAGTTAACATCAGATGTTGCTGTTTGTTGATGGGTTGTCTCCCCTTGTCCTATTCTCTGAACACTGTGTACTAAATTGTTTCCATGACAACAGAGTGGTGTGATACGTTAATGCTGTGTGTTACTCAGAGCTGCTGTACACAACTACACTGGCTGGTTCTGCAAAGATATATAAAACACAGATATTATCACAGTCCACAGCTTCAACATCCATCAATCACCAATAACATGAAATGGACAAAATATATCTTACAACTGGGCCACTTCATACCTATGTATGCATACATGTAGAAAAGGAACAAAATTACATCAGAGTATCAACAAAAGTATCTTTAGCAAGAAATTGGGCTAAACTTTCACTAATCATGATCTACAAAACACTGTTATCATTTACAAACATCTAGAATAGTTAATGGAATATTCACTCCAACCTATCAATATAAAACTTTATGTCAGACTTTGTAATTACCCTGTTCTCTCATAAACAGGTTTCTTATAGACAGGTCAATGTAGTAACATTTTTCTTAGGAGGTCTTTACAGACAGGTATGACTATTTAGTTACACTGGTCTCTCCTTAGGAGGTCTTTATAGACAGATGTGACTATTTAGTTACACTGTTCTCTCCTTAGAAGGTCTTTATAGACAGGTGTGACTATTTAGTTAGACTGGTCTCTCCTTAGAAGGTCTTTATAGACAGATGTGACTATTTAGTTACACTGTTCTCTCCTTGGGAGGTCTTTATAGACAGATGTGACTATTTATTACACTGCTCTCTCCTTAGGAGGTCTTTATAGATAGATGTGACTATTTAGTTACACTGTTCTCTCGTTAGAAGGTCTTTATAGACAGATGTGACTATTTAGTTACACTGGTCTCTCCTTAGGAGGTCTTTATAGACAGATGTGACTATTTAGTTACACTGTTCTCTCCTTAGAAGGTCTTTATAGACAGATGTGACTATTTAGTTACACTGTTCTCTCCTTGGGAGGTCTTTATAGACAGATGTGACTATTTAGTTACACTGCTCTCTCCTTAGGAGGTCTTTATAGACAGATGTGACTGTTTAGTTACACTGGACTCTCCTTAGAAGGTCTTTATAGACAGATGTGACTATTTAGTTACACTGTTCTCTCCTTGGGAGGTCTTTATAGACAGATGTGACTATTTAGTAACACCGTTCTCTCCTTAGAAGGTCTTTATAGACAGATGTGACTATTTAGTTACACTGTTCTCTCCTTAGAAGGTCTTTATAGACAGATGTGACTATTTAGTTACACTGTTCTCTCCTTAGGAGGTCTTTATAGACAGATGTGACTATTTAGTTACACATGTCCCTCCTTAGGAGGTCTTTATAGACAGATGTGACTATTTAGTTGCACTGGTCTCTCCTTAGAAGGTCTTTATAGACAGATGTGACTATTTAGTTAGACCGTTCTCTCCTTAGAAGGTTTTTATAGACAGATGTGACTATTTAGTTACACCGTTGTCTCCTTAGAAAGTCTTTACAGACAGATGTGACTATTTAGTTACACTGTTCTCTCCTTGGGAGGTCTTTATAGACAGATATGACTATTTAGTAACACCGTTGTCTCCTTAGAAGGTCTTTATAGACAGATGTGACTATTTAGTAACACCGTTGTCTCCTTAGAAGGTCTTTATAGACAGATGTGACTATTAAGTAACACCGTTGTCTCCTTAGAAGGTCTTTATAGACATATGTGACTATTTAGTTACACTGTTCTCTCCTTGGGAGGTCTTTATAGACAGATGTGACTATTTAGTTCTCTCCTAAGAAGGTCTTTATAGACAGATGTGACTATTTAGTAACACTGTTCTCTCCTTAGAAGGTCTTTATAGACAGCTGTGACTATTTAGTTACACTGTTCTCTCATTAGAAGGTCTTTATAGACAGATGTGACTATTTAGTTACACTGGTCTCTCCTTAGAAGGTCTTTATAGACAGTTGTGACTATTTAGTTAAACGTTCCTGGTTTTTGCCTGAATGGAATCATTACTGACAAATCTGGCTATTTAGTTTGACTTTCTCATTCTCTTTAAGGAGGTCTTATTAACAGGTCTGACTAATTAATATCTTTACCTTTCTTTCCTGAAAGTGTTTATTGACAGATATAAACTGTCAGTCTATATATATATCCCCCTTCTTGCACATGAGTCTGGATCCTGTCAATGTGACAGATAGTCTACTGTGAAAACCTTCAGAAACCCACCTACACATACTGGTACATAGATTTCTACCACTGGCAGAAAGAGGCCAAAATGGAATCACCGACTAAAAGTCCCAGAAGGTGATATAGTATAATCTTATATACATTATATAACCCTATAATAGTATTAACCTACTTACTTCCACATCCCTCCATACTGTCAGAGATGGAATTACCCCTTATCAATACTTTGCCTGGACAAAGATACAGCTCTCTGGAGTTAATTAGTCTCATGCACACTTAATACTGACAGAATAAGAGTTTCTGATCCAAAATACTAGGTAGAAGCTAGACTTGAGCATCATTTCCTAGAGTAACCTTTTTCTCCCACATCTTGCCCATGTGTTTGTAGAAATCACCACTGACATTGTACTTACAATAATTCAAGGTTTTACAGACAAGATCTACTTCAATATTCTATAAGTTCTGGATGTTGTACTTACGCTTGTCTTTCAACTGTATAAATCTGTCCCATTCTGCAAAAAAAGTGTAAACTATGAATTAATAAATGCTTAAAATATATGATTGTCTTTAAAAGTGATAAAAGGTCATTATAACTATCAAAATACTTCTTCTACACAAAGAAAATACACAGAAAATGATAAATAAAACCCTAGAAAGGCTGGTAGCAATAATTCATGACTTTACATCTCACTTGGATTTAAGCTATTTTCTGATAGATAACAAAACCAAACAAACAACAGCTAAATAAAGGTCAACCGGTAATGTTTTATAAGGTCTGAGGGCAGGTAGTATCATTCTTAATTGCTTAAAATAAATATACAGGTTTCAATTAAAACCATCGTAAATAAAATGTGATGGAGGACCTTGTTTTGTTAGCCATAAAAAAACCTGACAAATCTGATTGAATCAGCTATCTTGGATTGCAGATTGTACACCTGTACAGTTGTGAACATCTGTTACATTATTTTTCACACCATCAGACTGAGGTGGTAGAGTAACAACCCAAAATCATCTAGCCATGTTTGTGATTATTACATAACAGCATATAAACAAACTTCTATCTGTTATAGAGTATGTGGAGTTACTGTAGGCTTTGGTAACAACATTCTGAACAGAATGATCTGCCATACTGAACGTTACTTGAAATATTCAAGCTGGACATTATATTCTCTGTTAGGTATGCCATCTGCCATTTATTAAGTTTAAGACATACATGTCTTTTTTAAATGCAACAAAACAATCACCATTTTCCTGGATGGATTTGCATATTTACCATATAAGAATATAAACTTGTAATCCACATGCTAATGAAAGGAGATTACATGTCAATTTTGTCTGATTATAATGGCGCCACAAAAGGATGTAACCACAGCCATTTGTTACCTCTCATGATCATCTAACATGTTTTGCATCATGTGTTATGTGACACTGAGACATCATATGACCCTGAGACATCATGTGACCCTGAGACACAATGCCATCCAAACAAGAACTTATCACACATGAAATTGGCAAAGCTAATGAAACACATGGTAAACATATACTGTAACCGGTAAAAATGTCAACCTGGTCTTACAACACTCCAACCCAAGAGACTCATCATGTAAGACTGGTACGTTGTAGGTGATGGTATGCCCTAGACAAGGTGGCCCGGAGATAAATAACAAGTATTAGTGTGGGACTAAATGAGTGATATTCTCTCAAACCTTAAATGAGTTTGAGGCATCCAAGATGTTACAATACTATAATAATTATGACAAATTTCTGTTTTTGTAGATCGAAAGTTAGTATGCACTGGAGCTAATGATATGGCTTTGACCTCAAACCAAACAATCCTTAATGGTCTCACAGCGCATATAGGCTTTCAGAATTATTTCTATTAAACTCAAAATTCTATAAAAAATTGACCTATGGCATGTAACTAACAAGATATAAAGTTTTATAAAACAGATAGTGTTGGAGTCACAAGTAAGGCCAATGTGATAAAAGACTTGATAATTAACAAAGCCTTCAATGTTCTGTGGTTAATTAGGCCTCCTATATGTAAGTACTGAACCTAGAGTTCCCTCAGATCAGGAATCCATTGCCTCTTGTGATAGGTGACTTAAAACATAGTTAAGATGTGAATAATGGTTCAGACATTTAAGTAAACAGAGCTAATGTTGTCTATCCGATATTTTCCAGCACAAGCCTAGCTTTATTTCTATGGAAGGACTGTTTAGTGCTCTAACTGATAGAAACATCAGCCTTGGTTTGACATGTTTGCCTATTATTTAATGATTTTTCTGTCTTGGATGTTTTTATGAGATGATGAGCTTGTTTGGTGTCTGCTGGTTTACAGACACCAAAGTCAAATACTGCAGTGGTCTCAGCGTTTAGGGGAAAGTAGACATTTTTTTTATCTACAGTAGATAAGGTCATGGATTTTAGTTTTAACATATGAAACCCAACAGTGAAATGTTTAAGGTGGTTGACAGATGATGATGAATGATGCAATACTACGAGGATAAGTCATCCGCAACTGAAGATGACTTTAAAAATTTCATAATTGGACTACTTCCACAAATGTTTGGTTTAAGATATCTAACAAGCATGAAGTGATAAGTAGTACAAGTAAACTTTTATATGTTGATAACAACACATCTTTTAGCTTGTTTTCACGGCTGACAGAAGTTACATCTATGGTAATTATGTTCTAAACAATGGTGAAAGTTTTCAGTGGTTTGGCAACATGACTACAAATTATTGCAAAATAACACAAATGCAAGTGATGATATATTTGCAATTTTGCTGTAGCATGTACAATGTAAAAACGAAAGTCAGAATCTTGTCAGCATGAACCAGTCATTGAAGTATGATGAAGCTTATACATATCCAACAGTATAGATATAGATAATTGAGAACCGAAAATAATGTATCATAGAAAATTGATATAATCAAGTCTTACAGTACTGCTTATGACACCATAGCCTGACAAACATGACAACCTGTATTATGGGTGTAACTTACCAATCAGCCAAACAAACAAAATGACCTATCTTACGTACCTCTGACAACGTAGGACACAGCCTCAGCCATATTAAAGCAGGTCTTGTCCACATCCTTCTCAGGAACAAACCTAAGCTGCCTGGCACAATCAGTCTTATCACTAGCACTGGGAATTGAAATAGCTAAATCTGTCACTTTATTATTAGAATCTCCAAAGCATACAACAATGCTGTTTGGCCTGGAGTTATTTCCCTTGGATATATCAGGGTCACTAGAGATCTTGTTTTCTATGGTTGAATTTGATGTCTGACAACTATGTACTGCCATATTGCTTGTTTCTGATGAGGCAGATGAAATATTTTCACAATTTTCTGTTTTAGGTAATACAATACCATTTTTCCCTGAAAGGGAATGGCTAATTTTGGATATATTGTCTTTTGATAAATTTGTAACAACATTTTGTTTGCTTTTTTCATTATCAACGTTAAAACTAGAAGACATACACATTTCACTGGAAGTTTCTGAATGACTATGTTGATGTGAAGAAGTTATCACAGAATTTGTATCCACACTTGGAACATCACTGTCACTGGGGCTTGACTGATGACTTAGAACTGAGGTGGTAGACAGAGATGAAGTAGATGTGTCATCAACGGCAATACTACATTGTTCTGGAGAATTCCCAATTGAATTGGTATCTATACCCAATTCAAAGCCAAATGTAATTCCTAAATTTTTCGGCACCTGATTCAGTCTTTTGTCTAAGAAAATGACAGATTTGTTTTTGTGGATTTTCCTTCCGTTTCCGGTTTGATGTTTAGTGGGAGGCACAAGTGACTTAGTTGTTTGCTGACCCCCACATTCGGGGCTTGGTTCCTTCACAGCCTGGGCACACTCTCCTGGGACACTGTTTGAACCCTCCACTGATGAGGGGTGAGCACATACACCACTCCCGTTGAGGGGAGTGACCACACTTGTGTCCTTTGGCAGCAGAGTGTCAGGAACGGTGGTGGTGGATGAAACAGAAGCCTGATGGTTTGATACTAAATTTGTCTTTTTGTAACTATTTGAAACACTTGGCATTGTAACATCACCAAACATTACCTTACTACAAACTGGAGCACTAGCTGAGGGTATAACTACCTCTAACGGGTCCTCCGTCATGAAAGAAACACTAGGACTAGCATCAGGGGATACTCCCTCCTCATCTCCAAGAGTAGCTGATCCCTCCTCAGCTTCCCCTGGGGTGATCAGTACCTCCTGACTGCCCCCATACTTCTGACGGGTTGGGAGCCCATTATCTATATCCTTCAGGTTGTTTTCTGGACTTGAGCCAATGGAATGCCTCCTTTCTGTAGGACTTCCCTTCCAGTTAGCACTTTTCCACTCTTTGTTGGCTTCCAGTGAGCTATCATACACCTCTTCTGTCTCCCCACTGCTGCCAGCAAGTGAAGTGTTGCTGGGCTTGGGGGAGGCAGCCATCTTAGCATAGGAGACTGGGAGGAGTGGGCCACCCTGGGCCACAGGGAGTGACTTGACAGACTCAATGTCACTACTATCATCTTGGACCTTTAGAGCGATCTCCTTACAAGGAACATCCCCTGTGGAGTTTCGTCGGCCTTCCCTGAATGTCTGACGGCCACAGTTGATGCTGGAGCTGGAGCTGCTTAGAGCTGGGAATGACGAGGGACTGAGATCTCGCAGTCTCTCAGAGTCAAGACTGTCTGTAGTAGACAGACTATTACGTGGGGGAGGGGTTACTGATCGTGGCACTGGCTTACGAGCACGTTCCGCACGCCCTACTGTCCTTAAAGTGGCATGCATATTGCCATTTTTAATACTGTGGTTGATATTAGGTTCTTTGATCATCTGAGGTGTATTGTGTACTGGGCCAGTCACTGGACGTTTCTTTTTCTTCCCGACAACAGTAAACTCTGGCTCCTTGGCTGGCAGGTCAAGGTCAGTAAAAATGTAGTTACCATAATTCTCCTTTGACAATAACACATTGTTTTTAACATTGGCAGCTGCAGCAGAGGAAGCCGAAGCTTTACATGGTGCGACCTTCACAAGGTCTGGTTTTGTCTGACCTTCACCTTCCATGGTATCCACAGGGGTGACTTCCCCTTTGACCTTGGAGTTTTTGTTATTGTTGTGTTTTACATTGTTTGTGCCATCAGTAATGATTTTTTCCTCACCAGTAACATTCTTAACCTTGTCTGTTTTTTTGTTATTGACATGTACACTTGCAGAATTTTCAACAGTCACACTTCCCATTTTCTTTTTATTATTTTTTACCGATTTGTCCTCATGTATCTTATCATTTTCATGCAAACTGTTGATTTTGACTTTGCCGATACCATGCACCACATGATTATTTTGAGTGACAAGCTTGGAGAAGTCTTTGTTGTTTTCACCCGATATATCGTTATTTAGCTTTTCACATGCCTCTAAAACACTTTCTTCTGAGGTAATTAATCCATTCTCCTCTTTTGAGGTTCGTCCATAAGAATTTCCCATTGTATTCACAGAAACACTAGTATTTTGAATGAGAAGTGGAGAATCCTTGCTCTGAAAAGCAACAGGATTCTCAACAATCACTGCTTCCAATTCACTATCCTCCAGCTGTTGGACGCTAGGTAGTTCTTCCTCCACCACTTTCTCTGCTACTTCCTCCTCCTCTTCTTCTTTACTACTAAGTGCACTTACACTTTCACTGTGTTCACGTCCAATATGACCTTCTATCACTTTGTTACCGACAGATGGCTTGTGTTTCTTGTCCCGAGTCTTTTTAGCATTTTTCTCTGACGTTTTGACAGAGGCTGTGATCGTGTCCGTGGGTATGGGGGCAGCAGTGGTATGGTTAATCTTCCTGCCAGTCTTTTTGGCTGCTGGCCCGCCATTGTCTTGTTCAATAAATTTAACAAGTTCACTTAAGTCTTTATGCCCTACATAGTTCTCTATTTCTTCTGCACGAACAATCTTTTCCTTTTTCACCTTTTTACGTTTTTTGTGTGCAGTGTCGGCAGAGCTCTGAGTAGTGGACAAATCCTCAAGGTCTTTCACCTGTTGTCCACTGAATGGATAGCTATCAAGTTGTTCAAAGTTGGAAGGAAAACAACCATTTTGGTTTTGACGAAATCTGGCCTTGCTTGCAGTTGCCCCTCTATCAACAGGCTGGGGTGGTTCTCTCATTTGCCTATAGCTGTTTGCAAAAGGTTGTGAAACATGCTCTCTCAGACAAGGGTTGCCATTCTCATCAAAGTCTGCTTTCTTTCCCTTATCATCCAAATCATCTGGAAAACACAAAGATAAGACAAGATAAGAGTTTGTGAAACACTACAATGTGAAGTATTTGATAACAGTAGACTGACAGTGATCACAATTAGGTCATATCAATATTCCTCCTTTCCTATAATGTAGAAAATCATTTCTGAGACATCATGATCATGCCTTGAAAAAATGTTATCATCATCCTGAATGTAAGGAACAGCCCCCGGGCTGTCAGAGACTGGTTATGCTCCCCAAATGACTTTAAATCGGAAAAATAACAAAGGGCAATAAGACAGTTATTTTTCTAGTGCACTGCCCTCCTTCTCATTGAGATATTTCTACCTATGAAGTTTCATTTTGATACCTTTTAAAGTTTTAGTGTAATGCTCCGGACAAAATTTAAGTATGAAAAATAATAAAGAGCAATAATTCCTAAATTATGCATAAGAGAGTGACCATTCTGGTGCACTATACTTCTCCTTGTTGAGATCTATCTACCTATCAAATCTTATGTCGATACCTCTTACAGTTTTGTGTTATACTCTAGACAAAATTATGATGGACGGACGGACAAACAGATGGACACTTGGGCAAAACGGCAATTTTAAACTCTCTCTTCAAGGAGCACAACAAAATGATCAATCTGATGATGACTGATAATGCCAGACAAAACGATGATTCATTGAAACTGAGACAACCATGCATGTCTCCCTATTTCTTGCACTTGATAATGTTCTCTTTATTTTTCTAACAAATGTTGGCTCTGACTACGTTAATACCTCCAAATCAGGCTGAATGGTTCAATAAGATTGCAAAAGTTTCCACTACTTGTGATAATCAAAACCAAGGTTGACTCATTCAGTAAGAAATTGTACATTACAGTCTACTAAAATTTATCTACATATTAGTCACCAAACCTCAAGGAGTCAACAGAAGGGGGACATCATGAAATAGGCTTTCACTGCAATTATTTCTCAAAATTACGCAATGTCAACATCCTGAATGAGAAAGTGTGTGCTGTTGTGTTTATGTTCTCCACCTGTACAGCAGTAGTATGTTGATAATACTTTCTGGTCTTTTTATAGCTTGTTACTATGGAGATGGTAAAACCTATTAGGCTTTAACAAGACATAAAAAATTGATTAAAAAAAATACACCCATTTTACGTCTATTTATCAAATGTTGATATTCAAAGCTGTTTGACTAGACCTTGTAACTGACAGACTATCATGATGTTAAGGACATATTAAAGTAGTGTAGTGGTACTAACTCAGTCTATCACAACCCAATGTACTACAACCTAGTCTCACTGTACAAACCAGACTCACTGTACAAACCGAGACTCACTGTACAAACCAGTACTAACTCAATCTATCACAACCCAACCCAATGTACTACAACTTAGACTCACTGTACAAACCAGTACTAACTCAATCTATCACAACCCCAACCCTACCAGACTCGCTGTACAAGTTAATAAAACCCAGACTCGCTGTACAAGTTAATAAAACCCAGACTCGCTGTACAAGTTAATAAAACCCAGACTCACTATACAAAACAAAACAAAAAATACAAATTCAGTTAATGACAACCCTGACCTACTGTACTAACAAGTACCAACTCAGAAAGTCAATAACAACCCCAGTCTATTTACACTACTTCAGGGCAAAAATTGAATAAATTCCATATATAGATCACTATCAAAGAGCGTGTAGCACTCAATGGCCAGTTAAGGGGAACCATCTACATACCTTGTTCGTTTTCCATTCCATTTTTCTAGCACAGAAATGAACAGATTACTGTAACATTAACCTATCCATATTCACTTTTAGGAAAAACCGAAATCATTTTATAGACAGCTATCCCTTAGTCACATGTTATAACTGCTAGGACAGGCTGATGGTACATGGTGTTGTCAACACCACAGAGAAAATCTTGCTTGTCACGGTTGTATCAACATGAAATATAAACATCAAGCTTCCTTGTTACAAAATCCTGCTACCTGTGTGGTTTTGTGGGTCCATGTTAGTTTTATTGTAGCCTGAAGTCTCCTGTCTGTAAGCCAATTACAATAAACAGAGAACTACAATAAATACTGGCCCTCAGGTACACATCAACAGACTGGACACTATACAGAACAGGATTTACAGTCTATAAAAACCCTTATTGTAGTCACACCAATATACTGTTTAAAACATTTCTACTCATATCACATCTCAGACCTAAATTCAAAGCCAGAGAGATGTAGATCAATCAACAGGTATTATAACATCACTGGTCACAATAACAACCATGTCTGCCTTCGATCAGCAGGTAAAGACTGATTATTAATATGAGACACAATAAAAAGATGATAGGTGATAAATGTATAACTCTTAATCCATGTCATAACAGTCTTATACTGCATACCCACCATCATACTCCTCACTCCCACCCCTATTAACTTGATTCATAACAACCATTCCTAACTGACTGATTCTACTTCACCATCCAGTCACACCTCTTTCCTCACTCTATCTCTCCGTCCATTGGATTCCTTATGTCTCTCTCTAGTTAAAATACTTTCCTTTCCATATACCACTGTACATGTGACCTATTCCCTCAGTTTTTTTATCTCTACAGTTGTTCACTCACCTATGACAAACGTATTTAAAAAAAACCACAATTGTCCAGAAGCAATAACTTAGATATCACCTCCTGGTATCATGACCATATAAGGAGCCATGAAGCAGAATTGAGTTGGCATGAATAACACCAAAAAAAGTCTCTCTTATATCAATGATGGATGTACACACAAATAAATTTCATAACTGCGTGATCCTGTGACAGTGTATTTCATAACACTCAACCCAGATCAGTTTTCCTGTCCGGTCATATGTGTATATCCCTGACAATGTTACAAGAGGCCAAGAGTACAATATACTCACTAACAACCACAGGATTGGCGTGGTATCTATCCTGTCTCCGAGTGTCAGGGGTGAAGATGGGAGTTGTGGGAAAGCCAGGTCTAGACAGATAAATGTGTGACACCGCCCCAAAGGTACAGCACACCATCACACACTGGTTTATCTCCCCATGTCTTAACAGTACAGCCTGTTTACATATATACCTACCTGTTAGGTAGATAGCACACGTGTGCCGAACGCTGCAGATATCTGTCCTTAGATGTTTCTAAATGTGTAGTAAGAGATGGAGCTCTATTTTACATTACAAAGTTTATATTACATTATAATAGTATCAGTGATAAGGGTTTTATTTTACATATTATTACAGTATAATTAGGAGAAAGAGGTTCTATAGTACAGATAGGCCTTGTGTTTTGTACAGTTATACACCATCAGTGGTGTAGACTTAATGTAGTCAGAAGAGTCAGTTTTTTTTTACCTCAGATATTTAAATTTTTTTTCTATTTACAATTGTGAAACCATTTGGTCTGTAAACCTACAAGTGCCCAAAATATCAGATCAAGTCATCATTCTGAAAAGAACGATGTCCTCTTAATTGGAGATAGTGTTTGGCAGTAATTTTACCATAACTAGTAAAACATTTCACATGGAGAAAACAAGTATCAACCTATAGAATGGCTGTACTGGACCTCTGTCGTGATGATGAATTGACGTGAGGTGGTGGAGAGGTCTATTTAGCCAGCTTTATCACTGTTGTCATTTTCCATATAAATGCACACACATTCATAAACCTAGCCCTCTGGTATGTTAAACCTACAATATATCCTTGACACGGCCAGCTTATAATCAGATGGGGAACATCCCTACATGATTGTTGTCCATGCCACAGACTTTTTGGCGATTTATAAGGCAACACTGATGTAATTTTAGAATATCCAAACACTTTCAAGCATCTGGTGTAACTTGGGCAACACTTTAAAAATATCCACTTTTGACATCCATCTTTTTGTCACTTTAAAAGTGGTATTTTGTAGTGTAGAAACAACAGGCAATATCATCTCACTCTGTTCCCTCTGAAGTAATTAAGAAGGTTCTGTAAAATTCATGACAATGTGTCAGATGCTTGAGACAAATCCAGTTTTTTAAAGAAATGATAATGGGTAATGTTCTAATGCTTAACAGTTAGGATCACTTTATTCTGAAATGAGTAAATCCTGTTGACAAGGTAAGCCTTTAGTTATGTTTGTTCCCTGTGATTCCCAAGTCCTCTTTATGTTATGGGGATTCCCGGATATGATGTCTGTTATGGGGACACTTGGATCTACTTTTTCTGAGAAACCCATAGATCTGCTGTCTGTTTATAGAAAATCTATGGATTTGCTGTAAGCTAAATAATTTACAACTTTGGTTCACCTTTGGCCATGGAAATTTTTTGCAAAAATTTCACTTAAATCGGCTCAGGGGGTTCAGGGGTTTGTCAGCTCTAGCTTTCAAGGACATGCTTAATATCGTGATTGTTATGAAACAAGTTTGGTAGCATGCGAGAAAACAGTGTTTTCATTGTTATTAAACAGGGACTGCTTTTGTTTCAGTACGGTAATGAGTTAACAATACACAGATCAGACTGCTCCATCTGGACCAGACCCCAAGGCTATCACACAAACCCCATTATATACAATGACATGTAACCTGGACCCAAGCTTTCATTAACAGTGATTGGTACTAATTAAATGTGATCGTTTAGTTCAATTAAGAATGTAACGATAAAAAAACAACTGATTACTATAATTCCAATAAGGCATTGTATGTATTGATTAATTCTACACTGTTATCACAGTCTCCTGACTCCATTCATAATAAATTGGTGCTCAAAGTTCGTCAACAATATGATAATGTTCACTAAGAGTATGACTGGTCAGAACAATACTTACCCCCGACATATACCACAATGAAACAATATTTAATTATCATTGTATCAAAATGTAAAGGATAAAAAAGAACTACATTTCATGATTTCCAGAAAATACCCCAGTAACGAAGTTAAGAGACGACCTCCAGACACAAAGTGTTACTGAAATACTATAATATATATTTCTTGTCAAAAGTTTTTGCAGGTG